GTTTCGACCACTTAAAGTATAGTAATAGTTCCCTAAATCTGCATTTCACCGTCTACATTTTACGATTGTGGTGATTTGGGCTTACGAATAGCTATTCAGGATTTCTACACAATCAAGGAGTGCATTAACAGAAAACGTATGCTGCTTGTATAGTGGTTAAAATAAACTATACTTCATGCTACAGATACCTAATGGCTCATGTAGGAATGATCCGAAAGACGTAAATCATATATCCATAAAACAACACACTTCGTTCATTAAATAATTTGATGTTGTAGTTGTTGTCTACCATGCAGTGAATTTCTATTGCATACCGATATGCTTTGAGAAACAACAGACAACTGCGCTAAAATTGATAATATAGTCCTCATGTTACAGTCCTGGAGTGATGTGGCTAAATTTTATAGCACTATAAACATCAAGAGTATAACTTATAGCTATATGATGAAACGGACATCGAATTGGCAGGCATAAATTTTCATGCCGAATGAATATACTCTCATGACTATTCTCGCAATTCAAATCAAAAGCCCTGCCTCAGACTCCCGCGACTCGCGCTTTTTTATCCCATGCAATGTGGTTTGACATTGCCATCTATTGATCTGTCATCATTTGTGTCCGCAAAGCGCAATTTGGAACCCAAAGCGCATTTAAATCGGCCACGCAAAAATCTTCGAATGAAATCTAACAAAAATGACTTGATGTAATAGATATATGTGAAAAACAATAAAAAGGCGCTGTTTTTATCGACGTCTCTAACCAATTATACAATACAAAGCTTTTTTGGGACTGCGTCCTTATCTAATAAAGCTCTCTGCGTAAGCTCTCTGCACATCCTCCAATATTTCAATTATTGGCGCAGTAATTATCTAAAACAAGGCCACTTGTGACTTGACCTTGCAATCGCGAAACACCCGCATCTCGATAAAGCATAACACATAGCTAGAAACACCTAGAGAATGAGCCGCTGATTAGTTGTTATAGGTAACAACTGCGAGATACCGAAATCCGAGCATTGCCAACGCAAAAGTAGTGCACTGTGTGGACACGATACTGTGATAAGAGAGATAAAGATTTGGAGTAAACATCAACGATTAACGATTAATTTGTTTGCAAGAGTAATTTGTCCGCGGTTATCATCGCGGTCACACTTTTTGTGATTTTTTCAAAATGCGTGTTTGCCCTTTATGGTCTCGAAGAGAAAGGTTTAGTCGGCCATCGTAAACCGAGGTGAACTTTCTTGTGTCTTTCCACCAAGCGGAATTTTGTGCGCGGAGTGGAATTTTTTGTTTCGCGCTCTCATGCAAAACTAGTGTGAGAAAAATAAAGAAGAATTACGCTCTACGGGCAAAATTCCATCTACAGGAAAACAGGCTTAATGTGCAAGCAAAATACCGCTTAGTGGAAAACAGACTTCAGTTGCGAAAACAGGGAGTAGCTATTATCTACAAGTATCAGTGCCCCTAATTTCCATTAGATTTGTCACCGGCGAGCAAATGTTTTTTAATATGGATTTTGAATGAAATTTTCGCAATAAATGACAAAGCTGCATGGGAATGTGATTTCGTTATGATTGCCCAGTTTTTTTTTATCACCCACATGCAGACATGCACGTTTGCTTATTTTGAGGTCTGTGTCTACTTTCATACATACGTATGCACACGTAAGAGTCTAAATCCTAATATATGTTATCTTTCAAAAAACTAAGAGGAAAAATCGAAAGAACTACGTTTTCCGCATTTGCTAACCCCAAAGTTATAATAAAAAATTATAGCAATAAAAATTTTTCGTGCGTGTACGTGCGTAAGAAATACGCGTTAATGGACTCTGTCTAAAGGGCTAAAATCTGTGCGAGTCGCTTATATTCACGTTTGATTTGAAGATTTTGAAATTCGGAGACCAAAATGAATATACTAAATCTTAAAATGCTAAGCTTATAGTAAAACCATCTCTAGCGTATCAATAAAACAGAGCTGCACAATTTGCTGAATAGGCTTTACCTATTTCCTTCTCTTAACCGGTGCGAAATTCTATCATTACCAGGTGTTCCCATATGTTCTGAAAGATAAGATTGAATGTCAGATGAAATCATTATTCAATTTAGTGGCCATTCAACTCTTGTTGTCACAGGAACTGATTTCCCGCGTAGCAAATAAAATGTATATTAAGCAATTATTATCCAATTGGCATCTGTGGTTTTATTAATCTTGTCCAAAATACTTGAATAAACGTGAATGCGAAATAAACTTGATCGGTAAAATCAGTTATTATGCGTGTTTATTACCGTGATAGTTTTAAGTATTTCATTTTAGTGCATATTTCTATGGGTTATCGCAGCATATTTTGGGGGAGAGGGATATTTATATGCTAAAATGTTCGTAAATATTTATACTAAAGATTAGTCAAGTACTATAAAGACAGCTGGTATGCATTAAAGAGTAAACTGTAAATAAACATTTGATAACTGTTTTTGGAATGCTTTATGATGGCAGCAAATGACGTACAAGTCCTATTAACTCGTCAAAACTTATATTCCATTATTTTCTAGCAAATTTGAGTTATTTTCGGAACGGTATGAGTAAACGAGTTTAAATTATATTTTTCAAATCAAAATATAAAATAACAATTTTTTCAACTCACTGACCCGATTGTTTCCATTCCCTGGAACGTGGAAAATCTAAAAGCCAACCTGCGCTTTGCGGCGATTATTTTTTTTCGAAATGAAGTTACAATACCCAGCCTACAGGCATGGTAGTAATCCGTACCGTAGCCAACCCGACAATTAATCATGCTATGCTGATATCTTGGTGTTTATTGACTGTGAAACAATGAACGAATAACTATAATTTGAAATTTGCATAGCAGAGCAAAATCGCCACTGGTGGTAATGTTTACTATATCCTCTTATTTATATCTGATGACCTTAAAAAAACACTTGCAAACTCTAGAATATAATCGTAATATACGCAAAAATCTTTAAGTTTAATTTTGTGAGAAGATTTTTCGAGGCACTCCAGTACTCGATATACTAATATTTCTCAATATTTGCACTGATTTCAACCTTTAAAGTTTTTGAAGAGCGACAAAACTGTGATAAATCCGTGATTATCCACCTTTTATGGCCCTTTTTGAGGTCATTGTTTGGTTGATATGGCAACTGCAAAGGTGATAAACACTACAGTTAGACTTAATATTAGCGTGTCCTTTTTGCCTCCTAAGAAAGCTCCAAGTAAAATAATCAAAATAGCTTGAAATTTTGCGAAGAAATCGTCATGTAATGGCGCAAGACCACATTTACAAATGCTTGCGTGTTGCTTTCTTGCGGTCAAGTGATGTTTCCTAAATGGTGGGTAATCAAACCAACTAAGGGCAGTGGCGTTGCCGGTGGACTGGAACGATGACTGACGGTTATTTCATAGAGTTATTTGGCCGCCATATTTGAAACCAATTTTATACCAAATTGGGCGCCAGTGTGAACTGGAGCGATAAATTGGTGGCTATTTTTGTTGTCAATTAGAACAGAATTTTGCACCAGTACCAGCCCCTCTCTATTTTTTTCGTAGGCGCCACCGTCGGTTCCAGTTCACATAGGGCGCTTTCCTTTATACGGTAAAAACGGCCAGACCAGTTCTGTTGAAATTCAGTACTGACAGATTACTAGTACTTTACGTTATTTACGTCTGCCTTGCAAGGAAAACGCAGTTTCACGACTATATTATTAAGAAAATACTTTATTTCAATCCAACAAAACGACCGGTTTGACCATATTGGGCGCAAGAAAGCGTTCTTAGAGTTCACTGGGTGTGGCAGTGAACCTTCCACAAGACGCTTCAATCCCAAATATGCTAGCAAATTCATTCTAATTATTCATTCATTTACAAATCGATCAGTGGCGTAGCCAAAACGATAACTGGGGGGCCCACATTCATATATTCGTGATTCGCAGGATTAATTTCTTTTGAAATCTATTATCATGAATATATGCATATGCCCCCCCCCCCCAATTATCAATGCTGGCTACGCCACTGAAATCGATTGTCTTCGCAGTAGTAAGGAGGTTACAAATCCCTTTGCTCTCATGACTTGAGCCTTTATTCATTGCAAATCGTGAAAGTGGATTTTCCTGTTAATCCTCTTTACCGTTCCATTCGCGTGGTTCATAATTTTACGATTAGACAAATTTTTGTCGGCAGTGAAGATGTACATTCTTTTGTGGATTAGAACTCTTCCTAAGTAGGAGCAATAAAGAACTTAGGCCATCTGGCAACAACATGCATCTACTAACGTTGTGATTATTTTTACTATTTTTTTATTTTAACATTTCCGAAAAACGCGTAACCATAACATTCGCAGATTGCAAAAATGAATGCTTAAATAATGTGAAGTTGGTGTTCGTGAGGACGTACAACATCAGTTTATCTGGTCAATATCGCCTAAACCTAATTAGTGTCTGTTTTTACGTTTTGACGAAAGATAACAGACACTTATTACGACACTCAACCTTTTTCGGCTTCTTCCCAGAATTTATCACAGAGGATTCGCAGCCTATAGCGTGCACAGACATACGCCTGTATTCCAAAAGCTTACACTCACACTCATTGAGTGGGACATTTAATTTTGTTAATGCTAGTGAACGAGAACGTTCTTTCTGAATAGGTGGTTTGCGATTGACGCCATCTTCTTAAAAAGTAAAAAAAAAACTTATTCCGTGATCTAAGCTGACAATTTACGGCCAACACGACGTCGGGGATCATCAAAATGCATATTTTTTATATATGATTTAAGGTTCTCGTGAAAGGTGTCGGCAAATATCTTTAATGTCCTCGTATAAGACTAAAAAAAAGTTCAAAGTTGTTCAAAACGATACGGGGGAGAGATTTTAAAAATCTAAGAAATGATCATGCAAATTCAGTCATTTTGAGAAGTGTTTTTTTTTTAATGCGTTTTCTACTCTTTTAGTTTACCGCGCAGATGTGACAAATGATTGTGCATCTCGTAAAATGGATCTAGTGGTGATAATGGACGGCACTATCTCACTCGGTTACGAACATTTCAATATTCAAAGAGATTTCGTCCTGTCAGTATTATCGAAAATGAAATTTGGCCCTCAAGCAACGCAACTTGGCATCATTCAATTCAGCGACGACCGGAGAACTTCAGTCGAGATGGAAATAGGAAGGCATGGGAGGCAGGAAGATGTGTTAAAGAATGTGTCCAACATTGTGTATCAACAAGGTTTGCAAACCAAGACTGGTTTGGCAATGCATTTAGGCTACGAACAGGTATTTCCCACTTTTCAAATTTTCGTTTCGTGCGAATAATCTATATGAATGCGGCACAACAACATGCAGGAATTTCATTTTAAAGCAATCAGCAAATTTGTTTACATTTTCAGTAACCTAATCAGAATGCATAAATATCGACCACTTTTGGTAAAAAGGTGCATTATTTGCCAATTTACATGTGGTAATAAAAAAAATCATGCATTCTAATTTGTTTAGGCTGAAAATGAAAAAAAAATTGCCGATTAGTTCAAGTTATTTCAATTACTCCTTGTTTCTCATAACCAATCCGAAAGTGCGAGAATCAGCGACAAAAAGATACTTTTTCGTATAGTATTTAAGTATTTACCCCCCGCATGCATGCATATGTATGTAGAGAGTGAAGTAGTTTTTACTTAGTTCACTACCACTCAGTTGCCATTGAAGATTCGGCACTGTTGTCATGTTATATATGCGTGAAATATATTTCTAGTGTGTATGTAAGTATTTGTGTGATCAAGTTTAGGCTCATTTTGTTTAAAAGGCAAATGCAAAAGTTCAGTGGCGAACAATTTTAAAGACGCGGTTACACAATGCAATTTTTCTTATTGGTTTTCTCCAAAAAAGTGAAGTTATCGTATTTTGTACGTTTGCTTCAGCAAACACCACGTTAATTTAGTTTCGCAGAGCTTTCGGTGCAAATCATTATCATCAATCGACCATCGATTTTCACTGATAATGGTCCGGGCGTACTGACCGGATGATGATGTCATTTCAATCAAATGTCGATTGAAATGAGGATTTGCACTGATAACCGTCCGGCCTTACGGACCAAAGGCTCTGCAAAACAAAATGCAAGTGGTATCTCCACAGACAACGTTCCATCCCAGGACTTAAACGATCAATGCATGGAGTCAGAACCAGTCACATTAGATTTCACTGGCTTTGTTTTAGTTTATCATCCCTAACGATGTATAAGGAAAGAATAAACCATACGGTATACTAACAGTTATTCGCCGAAGGCGTAGTGAATATCACTGAATATAAAGCTCAACTTCTTCTCGTCTTGTTTTAGAATAAATAAAAAGGTAATTTTTAGAAAAAACGAATCTGTCGTTGAAACCACAAGACACATGTTCGACAAACGTAAACAAATATCTCCCCTCTATTACAGCGAAACACAACTCGTACCTACGGGGGGGACCTGACGTACGAGGTGGAATAAAACAATGTTTCCGCACAATTCAATAAAGTTAAGCAGTTTACCACGCTGTTTTCTTACCTCGAAATGATTCTGCCCCTATATTTTTTAACTTCGACATAAAAATCTTATCGCCATTTTGAATAATCCGCCTAGGTTATTACGGCGTAATAATCCGAGCCGCTGACCAATCAGAGGCCATAATAATTAAATTTGTAATTATACTAAACATGAATGTTTTTAATATTAAAATTAATCTCAATAATATTAACATAATTAATGTATCTCCTTCTAGTTTTTTGGTGGTAATAGCCAATCCCGCCGTGGAGTTGACAAGGTCATACTTTTGATTACCGACGGAAAACCAGTCGATAATAATTTGTTGCAAAATGTCGTCAAAGACCTCAACGATAAGGACGTGAGGATTGTGAGTGTTGCCATTGGAACAAGCAATCACCGCATACAAAGATTTCGTTACATAGTAAGAACCATCGCAAGTGGCTTTAATCAGGGCTTCAAAGCCGAGCATCGAAAATTAAAATCTTTGGTGGATGATGTAGCAAGAGAAGTCTGCACGTTAAAAAAGATACCTGCGCCTCCAGGTAAAGAAAAATGTAAGTATGAAAAAACATGCATAAAGGCCTAACTCCACGAGCCCTTTTCCTCGGTAAAGTGCGAAATATTTCTTTTGAATTGCGGGCACTCAAAGACACGATTTCTACTTCATTGCTCACAATTCAAAGAAGCCGGTGAAATATTTCGCAATTCGCGGAAAAATTTCACCCGTGCAATCAGGTCTTAACATAGTTTAGGACAAATAGTAGCGATCATATTCAGATAGATTTTGATAACGTGGAACGCGGGTTATAATAAATTGAAATGTATTAATAAAATTCACCTTCTATTCAGCCATGGATAGTTAAAAGACGTGATTTTAATGACTCACACATCTATTTTCCCTACCATAATCTTCACCCCAATCAATACAAATGTCAGATTATGTTAGAAATAATGCTAAAGTGTTATTATTATATTTGTAGTAAAACAAAAATGCTTTCAAGAAAAAAAGGATATTTTGTTTGCGTTGGATGGATCGACACAAGTGGACACTTACATATTCAACAAGGCAAAGTCGCTTGTTGCACAGATCTGTGCCCAATTGGACATCACTCCTAATCTTATTCATGTTGCTATGCTCCAGTACAGTGACGAGCTGAATACCAGAATTGAGTTTGACTTAGATCAATATACCAAATATTATCAAATCAACGAATCGTTACAGAATGTTTTCCATTCAAAAGGAAGAAGATCAGATTTAGAAAAGGCCTTAAGTATTGTTGATGAAAAGGTAGGAACAAAGTTTTAACCAAACTTTTAGAACGTTTTTTATCACATGACAAATAAATTTTGTTATAACGGATCAATGAGATTTTGTGAAAACTCCAAGCGGGAAATTGCATTTGGAACACCCCCACCCCCTCTTCAGTAAGCGATAGTAGATATTTATAGACATTTGATAGGAAAGGATCTATATTTAGCATCTTAATTTTTTATCTCTTTATATTAACCGCCCTGTAATATCTGTCCCCGAGGACGGGTGAATTCAAAATTTAAAAACTTGGACAAAACGAATACTTGGGACATGAAAATTCTAGAACTGAATAGTATTAAAATATCATAATCTTACTTTTGTGTTGATTTCGTAAATTTCCATCGCGTTTTAGTTGAGTTATCGCAATATTTCAACAAACAACGTCTCACTCAATCTCAAAAATGCATTGTGGAAAGTATGAAGCAATGCTTTATCTTGGTAGCGTTGTATCTTCGTTTCTTTTCAGCCAAAAGTGACGGTTCGCCCACCATTTTGTTTATCAAACTCTGCTCTATTTGTGTACTAAATGACATACGCTACAAGTACATATTTTGCCTTATGTGGGCATTTGCGCAAACACTCGGTCGGGCGAAAATCTCCTTCGGGCGCCTTTCGGGCTGGCTGTATGTTTTGGTATCATTCAGGGGCCGGTTGTATCAAGCCCGTTTAGCTTAAACGGTGGATAAGTTCAAAATAGAAAGCAAGTCTATCGTTTTATTCAACAAGCAAACTAAATGTTTTCAACCTTAATACAAAGATACTGTTTACAACTACATATTCAGTGCATAATATTCAAGTTGACTCATTCAAGAGAGATGTAAAAGTGTTATTTAATTTTGACTTATCCACCGTTTAAGCTAAACGGGCTTGATACAACCGGCTCCAGACGACGTATTTTAGTTGATTTTCAGCCAAACGTGTGGCTGTTCTTCGCAATTTTTAGCGATGCGGTTGCATGTAATTTTGCGATTATGTTCAATCAGGAGGGGGTACTAGTTAGGAATTGCGAAAACAAATACATCAGATGAAAGATCATTGTTGGATAAGGAAGGATTGGCACCCACGGTGGTGCTATTTCAACACTTCAAAATTAACAGTGTGCTTAAAATTCTCATTTCAACACAGATTTTTAATGGTAAAAATGGCGATCGGATCAGTGCGGAGGACTATCTACTACTATTTCTAAACGACGCTGTTAGGCAAAGCGAGAACATTATTAACAAAGTAAAAAGTTTAAAAGAGAAAGGAGTCCATGTGATCATTGTTGGATTAGGAAGACTTCAGCTAGATTTCTACGAAACGTTAGCGTCCCATCCTAGTGATGTGAATTACATTGACTCTGTCAAGTTGAAACACATAGTTGGTGATCTTACTGCAATTACCTGTAGAAAAGTGAATTGCGAGGAGGAGAAAGATGAAACTCAGAAAGGTAAAACAACAAAATCGCAGCAAAAAATTAAAAATTTAAACGTTTACAAAAAAGATGGTTAAAAAAAAGATAAATGTTTGGCTGGAAGTTTTAACTTTTTTTTTCCGAACTAACTTAAATTGCTAACACTGAACTATCCGAGCAACTTCAAAATAGAACGGAGTATTTAGGATTGCATTTGGTATTTTTTATATTTTTTAATTATTTATACAAAAAATATTCTAGATAAACGCGAAACAGAGGAAGCAGATCCATCGTGCCAACAAGGCTCCCAAGACGTACTTTTTATGATTGATACAACAAGAAATATGAATGGCTTCTTTCCAAAAGCTTTGAAATTCTTCACTAAAGTCGTCAAGAAGCTCAACATAGCAGCAACTCAAACAGACGTAGGGCTAATGACGTTTGGAAGCAACGGAGGGCATATTGCCGTTGAAATGGGAAAACTAAGGTTTGAGCAGGTCATTTCTAGAAGATTTTTGAGAATAAGACAAACAAAAAGATGGTCCCGTACAGCCGATGTTGCGAGAGCTTTGCGTATGGTTAACAAACAGGTATGGGTGTACTCAGAATTGATAGATATTTCCTGAATTCGCATGAGTGTAAACAAATTGATTATTGAGTAGTTTTCATTAGAAACAAACCCAAATTGTGTATAAAAACTTTAAATCATGGAAATATGGCATCAGAAATCCAAGGCATTTGAGCCAACAATCTGCAAATTTACAAGTGTATTGGAAAATTGGAAATATTTATACTAAACTAACGCTGCGCAAATAAATTTCGCAGCAATATCATAAAAAAATTGTCATACAGTGCGGTGTTTCAACCGGTTTTAAATCGAATTCGGCGACTGCAATATGTATTAGACATAGCAGTTGCTATACACATAAGATAGTATATACGGTGCCCGCATTGGCCGAGCTGCCTATGCTTTAAGTTCAAAATTTTTCTCCTGCGTTATTACACAAATAATGAATGTCCAGTGGTAAGAATATTTTCATTATGTTAAAGATGAAATGAGGCGAGGCGATAGCCAAGTTGAATGGAACATTTCCTCTTTCACCAAGTGAAAATATTTTTATCATTGCACAAGTGAAAATATTCATTATTTGCTTTATGTAATACCAAAATAGACTGTCACTTCTCAACAAGAATTTATTGGATAATGAACGTACTCTATGAATCAAATTTAAATACACAACCACAGTCTTTTTCGTATTTTCAGCATCCGAATCTTCAATAAGTTGAGAAATTTAAATAAATTACGACCACGGTTGCGAGAAGCATTTCGACGAATGGTATTTACTCAAAGCATAAAGAAGGCAATGAAACAAAATGTATAGTAGTACAATTGGATTCTGGAGAATGCAATGGAACGCATTCCATTGCACTCTTGGGAAATGGGTCTTTCCATTCAATATCACGTGATCGTCATCAAACAATTAAACGATCTAAAATTAATGGGGTATTACAGCATTTGCATGTCATTTAAAGAAATGAGAAGAACATTAAAATGATTTGTACTTCAATAGCGCTGAAAGAACTATACAATAGCGCTGATTGAAAATCAATTGTAGTAGTGCAAAAGTTCAACAATAACGCCTTATTATATATTCCGTAAAGTGAATATCAATAGAACGAAACGAAGAACAATTGCGTTGACTTATTCATCATTAACATTTTCGAAACAACAATAGCAATAAATCAAACGACATTTAGCGTAAAGAAATACTCATTTACACAAAGTTCTCTCATCTGCGTTCTAATATGTATAAAATTGATAGCAGCTGCTGAACGGAATGTGCACTGCCTAACCATTGCGAAATGTACAGAATGGGGCAGACTTATGCATGCATGCAGACCACAGTTATTAGAATATACATGGTTTGGAGACTAGATGGAAGTACAATACAACTCATTATCTATGTTATTGTCCAGGTTTATGGAGAATACATGGTGTCCCAAAAAAACGAAAACTATTGAAATCACTCATTGTTAAAATTTGAATGCCGTGTGCACGAATTTTAGCCCGTGGGGATTTAATGCAACTCAGTAAAATGCTAAATGCTTTGTGTTGCTACAGAAAGGGGACATGTCGAAGGTCATGGTGATTGAGATGCACATTTAAATATTGTTAATAAATATCATTTTCGCGTACGAACAATTTTTATTGCATCATGCATAAAAATGTTTATGGCAAACATTTATTCACTTGTGGGTCCCAACAGAGTGCTTAGGCATTCAAACTCTAACAATTACATTGTTATGGGTGATTTCAATAGTTTTCGGTTTTTTTGGGACACCCTGTATAATAAGGCGTTGTTGTTGAACTTCCGCACTAATACAATTGATTTTCAATCAGCGCTATTGTAGTTCTTTCAGCGCTATTGAAATACCAATCATTTTAATGTTCTTCTCATTTCTTTAAATGACATGCAAATGCTGTATATAAATTATTTCTATTATGATAAGGCAGTCTGCTTTGATCGCGAAGTCCAGACGTGTCGGATAACCAATGTCTTGAATTTCTGACGACGAAATTAAAGCGTGTGCTTTTCGGAAAAGTGCTTGACTTTATGGTAATTTTCGAGTTTTTATTTTCTCAGATACATTGTGCACATCTTTTCAGGTTTTCAATACATCGACAGGCGGGCACCGTGCGAAAGCTACCGACCTCGTATTTATTGCCACACGCGGTGTTATAAAAGACAGATATGCCATACAACAACAAGTCAAGCTTCTTAAAGATAAAGGTGTTAGGGTTGCCGTGCTTGATGTCGCATACAAAGATCGAAAGATCGATTACTTTAATGCCATTCGTGATATCGCATCCAGTGCTCGAGAAATTTACCCAATGGATTTCAGGCGAGCAAGCACTGTCTCGCAGGCTTTGCTGGATGTCCGATGTAAAGTCGTGGAAAAAACAGGTTAGAATGGATAAATTTACCCGCGGTACATATATTGTGTGCAATAGCATAACTAGGGGGTCATGTGATAATGAACACACACCCCCCGGCTATAGGGCAATGACTAAAATGATGTACCGTTGTTTGATAATGCCTTGATTTTCACACTAGTACGATGTTAATATTATTATATTCAATTTGAAATCAATGGTGTTTCTTGCAATCTGATTGGTTAAAAATAGTGTGATTAATTCCCAAATCTCACTATTTTTGAGCATTAATCACATCATTTATAAGCCAATAAGATTGAAGCTCTGAACCACAATAACCAATCAGATTTAGTATTTCAGTGTAACTACCAATCAAATTGCAAGGGACAATGGCACGAAATAGATGAAAATTGGTTACATTTTACACCGTTTTCGGTTCTTTCAGCCAATAAATCGTTTTGAAATCGTTTTGGTTTTTTGTGCAGAGTCAATACTACTTTTGATTTCAAAATGAATATAATAAAGTGGAAATTGCACTTCGTGCTGTGCAATTTTGGTGTGAAATCAATTGTAATCACGCGTTTGATTTCACACCAAATTGCACTCCACTCAGTGCATCATGATTTTCCATTATTTCTCTCATCGCTGAAATTTACGATTCTTTTACTATAGAGTAGCTGTATAAGACAGTTGATAAGTGTTGATAAGTGTTGTAAGTGTTGCTAAGTGTTGATAAGTGTTGATATGTCTTACAAGTGTTGATGAGTATCGATAAGTTTGAAGTGTTGTTAAGAGCGGTCAAAAACAAGGGGAATTTTGTTTTAAACTGATCAGCATATTCCTTTACATTTTTAGCAAAAGCCAATCAGAATGTCAAAAGACTTCATGTAAAATGGTAAATAATGTACCTTTTTACCGGAAGTAGCCAAAATGTATGCATTCTGATTGGGTAACCGAAAATGTAAATAAACTTGCTGATTGGTCTAAAACGAGATCCCCCTTGTTGCGGTCAAATGTATAAACGAGAGTCGCAACACAATACGACAACTTTCATCTGACCGTACCGAAAATGAAGCATCAGCTGGTGTTTTCTGACCTTTAGAAACGAAAATACACACAAAATGTAAATATTCCTTTCAATACGGCTTAATTATTAATATACCATTATTTTTGTTAGTTTCCCCAGCATGCTTCAGCGTTTCGCGGAAAGTGCTATTCTTGCTCGACAGCTCGCGAGGCCTGGGATACAGAGAGCTGCCTCAAGTAATCAAATTCATTAAAGATATTATAATAAAGCTGTACACCAATCCTCGCAACATTGAAGTTGGTATGATCCACTACAGTGACATGTATTCCATAAGATATGCGATGTCATTGGGAAGATGGTCGTTAAGACGTGCTTTGAGGAACCTGAACAGACTGAGCTATACGTACAGACAAGGAAGAGAACATTACTTAGGATATGCTTTGAAATTCGCTAAAAGGGTACGAACAGCTTCTAGATAAGTTATTAAGAACCCGCTACAATTTTGAACGCCACTCTGATATAGTACTTTGACATGAGTTCTATTTAGTCTAAAATTGATTGGCGACTGGCCTGCTTTTATCTTTAAATGCAGTTAAGGTGGCTCGATACAGTTTTTAAAAATTCCACTGTTCATCACTTTGACACGTTCAAACAACGCATTTTTATGATTTATTCCTGTAAAAATGTTAAATTGTAAAAATGCGTTGTTTAAACGTGTCAAAGTGATGAACGATGGAATTTTTGAAAACTGTATCCAGCCACCTTAACAAACTTACATATATGATAAATGTGATTTAAAAAATATAAATATCACATTAATCATTTCTAAGTACGATGTCACCCCGTCTATGCTTTCGAATCTCGCTATTATTTTAAATCAGTACTAATTACTGGTACACTCGATCTGGAATTGATTCAACCTTGATGCAGTACGTTGATCGTGTATTTAATTAAGATTTGGAATTGTTACCAAAAGTATTAACTTCCATTCAAATATTTTTGACAGTATTTTACAAGACTGCCTGTAAGAAATAAGGAAGAGAGAATCATCATATTGCTCGCACACAATCAACCAGCTGATCCTGAGAAAGCGTTTAAAATGAGTGAACAATTACGTTCACAAGGAATCGAGATTGTCACCGTCGCAATTCACACAGTAAAAAATCCAATAAGAATAAACCCTCAGTACAGAGCTTTGGCGACCTCAAGAGCAAATGCCCACAGCTTTGATCTAGACAACTTGAAAAATGGCAGCATCGACGTTTTGCTGAATTTATGCGAGTTGACCGCTTGTCCTAAAGGTTAGGGTTTGTATCAGAGCAAAGGCTATTAGTGAGTCGAGTATTCCGAAGGTATTCTTATCTCATGCCTCATTGATCTGCGGCTTTCTGATTGGTTCCGAGCAAGTAAGCTTTTTTCAAGCTCACCTGCTAGTCCGACCCAGTGAGTACGAGACTTTCAAAATGGCCGCCGAAAATTGTTCGGAAAAGTCCATTCGCAATGTTTCAGGTCATATTAGTATCAAGCGTATTTTTAGTCTTTAACTCATTTTAACTTTAGATTTGCTTCGCTGAGTTTCTTGTTTACGTTGTATGTTGTGCGTTTAAAACGTTTTCTGAGCAAGAAATTTTTAATTGATATGTACCAAAAATTCCCGACAATGGGTAACTTTCTGGACATTTTTCCCGAAATGGCAAGAGATAAAAATTAAACCTACTCGCAGGTTCGGTGTGTCTGGCAAACTTCCAGCCTCTCTTCGTGTGTAAATCCCGTACTACGCACCTCTCTGCTGCAAATATGTTACAATCAATTTTTTTGCACATATCTAGCTTGTGAATTTACTCCTTTTGAACTTTTAGATTCCACAAAACACTGCACTCCAAAAAAACAAGATATATTTATGGTGCTCGACAGTTCACGAAGTATTGGATTCAGGATCTATCCCAAACTAAGACGTTTTGTTCGCAGACTTGTCAACAAACTTGACGTATCGGATGAAAGAACTCACCTCGGTATTCTACAGGCGAGTGACCATAGGAGAACACAATACGAGATGAAGTTGGGAGAATTTACGGATTCTAAAGAGATTGAAAGTGTAATCAACGAAATGGATTATCACGAAGGCTATAGATCGTATATTGGTAAAGGATTGGAAATTGCTATTGAGGACAATGTAAGTGCGAAGGGTATTGAAGATTCTCTGGCTTTAGCTGGAGACTTCAAGTTTTCTGTTTGCAGAATGCTAAACTATACATTGTTGCTTTTCCTTAATTCCAAGAAACAGATAATCCAGTTCTTCCTTTCTGATCAGTGATGCATATCCTCTTGCATAACAATTGCACCCCGAACTCAATGCATCTTGTATTTCAAATGTGATACTAGTTCGTACTATGAAATTTGAACTAAGGAGAGGGGGATAATGAAGAATTCATCAAAACGAAATATGGAGGAATTTTTTTTTAAGATATTTTAATATTTTCCTGAAAAAATGCAATGTGTCTAAGCAAGTTTGAAGATTGTAACGCATATACAATCAGCTCCATCATTAGTTTATGTATCTTACATTCGGATATGAAGACTACACACATTCTTGTAAAAGAAGCCCACTCTTCACTCTTCAGGAGAGAGAAGTACTTTACAGGTCGATGTGTTTAACCAGAAAAAAACGTTTCCTATAATTTCTATTCTAGCTCTTCAACGCCTCAGGTAACGCCATACGAAACCGTTTCAAGAGTAACAGCGACCGTCCAGAGGCAGAAAACGTACTAATGATTTATTCCGACGGAAATTTTCACGACGAACCACAGGCGAAAGAGATCATCGAAAACCTGAAACAGTTAGGAGTCCGAGTAGTAGTCGTGGGCCTGGGAAGAGAATCGCGAAAGTCTCGTGAGAGAGCATTGCTGGAGAGTTTAGCAACCACAAATTCTGATGTTTACCTCGTGAATTTAAATAAGGCTAGTCTTTTGGTAGAAGAGGAACTAAACGAGGTCGCCCAAAATGTTATATCACTGCAATGTGTGGACAAACATCCAGGTCAGTTTCGAGGGACTCGAAATATTAACCTATGTTTAAAGAAGTAGATCGCGCTAATATATATTCGATAGAAGTTGTGAATTCAGTCAATTTTTGAATTGTAGCCTCATCTTTGTATATGTCGTACAGTCTGTACTGTACTTTATTTAAAGTGGCTCCTTGCAGTTTCTTCAAATTGTTAAATGCATGTTTTCGACAGGATAGTGAGTTTAAGATTCATCATATCTACGACGCAGTTTCCCAACAGGGATGAAAATTATAGACTCTTTTTTATAAACGAAATCAAAGCCGTATAATAAAACAAATTATTACTGGTTTCCAAACACTGGTAGCAGTTTTCATGTCACGTCCGCGTCGTAGTTTGGTGCATCTTAAACTCGCTAATGTTAGGTAAGATGACTCAGTAGCGTAGCCGGACTGACGATTTGTCCCACTATGCTAATATTTTCGTGTTCATTGACTGAGTGTGAAAACAATGAATTTCCAAAGTGATGAATAATTAATTTGAAATTTGCGTAAAGCCCTGCTACACATTGCAATGTTTCCTGCAATTTGCAATGCAATTCTTCTTTTGAGAGTTTTTTGTAAATTTGGCAACTACCAAACCTTTGCTTTATTCCACTCCATGGCGTTTTCACTTCATGGCGACTTCACTCCATGGCGTTTCTTACACTTATATTTTGAGGACTCTTCACTAATTTACATCTCTCAAAAGTAGAATTGCATTGCAAGTTGCAAGAAAAATTGCACCGTGTATCAGGGCCTATAGTAGGACAAAATCGCCAGGCTGGCTACGCCACTGAGAAGACTTAAATCTAATATACATTTCTCTCGCGTACCGACATGCAAACATCATATTATACCCTATAAGCAAATGAGAAAAATGTTTTATATTTCAGTACTTATTTTCGCTTTTCACCATGAAGATATAGTAAAGTAGTAGTACTGTAACAGAAATTAAATAGAGAATTTTTCATTCCCATTGCAGCGCCTATTCAGTGTTCGCCAGAATCACTCGACCTGTTTGTCGTTATCGATGGGTCTAGAAGTGTTGGTTACATCAATTTTGGTAAAGTTCAAAACTTCTTAAAAAAACTGGCTGACGAGTTCTTAATCGGCCCAAACAACGCTCACTTTGGCGTGTTACAATATGGTGATAAGGTAGAGAGCAGGATTGAGTTCAATCTTGATAAATACCTGAGCAACAGCGCGGTTTCAAAAGCAATTGAGGATATGAAATTTCTAGATTCGACCAGAACCGACACCGGACATGCTTTATCGGTTGTCAATAAACAGGTTTGTTATTGCTAAAAAATATAGACTGCATGCTTTGATATCCATCAGTGCACAGTAGGTGCATGCAAGTATGGTGGAATTATGATACGGTATATCTTATGCTCAATTGAATTTTAATTTCGAATGAAAATTTTACACTTATCAAAGCTGAGAAAAATGGGGTCGGTACCTATACGAACAAGCCCTGTTATTTGTTTACGGCAACAGTAAAACACAATAAACTATAGAAACTGATTTTCAAAAGAACGAGTCAGAAACACTGTGGTTACCTAAAGCAATCACAGAACTCGATCATATAAAGTAATTACTTCGTACTTACTAGAGAAATGCACAAATAGAATGATAATTGGGAGCGGTTCATATATATATATATATATATATATATATAAATATATATATATAATATATATATATTATATATATATATATATATAATATATTATATTATATATTATTATATATATATATATATATATATATATATATATATATATATATATATATATTTACAGTTCTTCCCGATGGTTCCTATCGTAAGCTGTTGCACCTAGAATAGAAATTCGTCGGGCAGAACTAAATGTATGACTATCCCCCGCCACCAATTACCTGTTATGGTATGGTATGATATGTGATTGTATTATACTTATTATGTTAAAGGTAATCGCCTTTTATATTCCTTTCGTTCGATAGATATTCAATGGAACAGGAGTTGATCGGCCTGGTATACCAAATATATTAATTCTCTTCACTGATGGCCTTGCCCACGATATCAGACTTGCATACAGGCAGGCGGAGGAATTAAAAAGAAAAGGCACAAGAATCATTGCAATTGGAGCTGGAAGAGAAGCTAACAAAGTCTTTCGACAAATAAGACGTGTGGCTTCAAGAAAAGAAGATGCACACAAGTCGGACTTTGATGAACTTTCAGGCATTGTCGACGACTTGCTAGACGTTGTCTGCATCTAAAGAATCTAACAGCCGAAGTAAATACCCCAATATTGTAAAAATGGACTGCAGAACATACGTATATAATTGCTGCTGTTCCGACATTAAAATGAAACAGTTTAGATAATAAGCGTAGTTTAGAATAAACTAACATTTGTGTTGTCTAACATAAACACCATCTTTTAGCGATGATTTGTGACATATAAAGACCTGTTATGCAAGTTATTTCACGTTACATGCATAACTTATCTCTAAAGACATCTCTGTTACTTTAAAAGTAAATGCGACCATATAGAATACGGTAGAGTTGCAAAACAAATGAATAATGAAAACTTTTTTTTAATCTGTGATACATGTACATGAGTTTGATAAAGTATTAATTTGTGCCGTAGAAATACGAAAAAATGTGTTTTATTGTTTTATTTGTCAGTAGTTTTACATTTGCTCATTTGAAGTTCGCTTCTAAAGGGCGCTTCTCCAGGGTGGAATTTTTCACTCAGAAAACCAGGCTGAAAATTTCGTTTAATCGGAGAATTCAGCACCGCTTTAATAATGGCGTTCTGTACGCATCTACTTTTAAGACATGTAAGTTAGTGAAGAGTCTTCAAAATGTAAGTGTAAGAAACGCCATGGAGTGTAATAAAGCAAAGGTTTGGTAGTTGCCAAATTTACAAAAAAACTCTCAAAAGAAGAATTGCATTGCAAGCTGGCGATTGACAGCGTCAAAACAACGTTGTGAAAATGTTGATCTGACGTTGATCGAGGACGTCAGAACAACGTCATTAGGCAACTTTAATTCAACATCTAGAGAGGACACCAATCTGACGTTGATTGACAACGTCAACGTCGAAACAACGTTGTGAAAAATTGATCTGACATTGATCGCGGCGTTGGAACCATGTCTTCACTGATAGAAACTATTAACGTTATTAGTAACGTTACTTCAACGTTTGAGTGAGCTTTTATGTTAATCTAAAAAGATTTGTATCCAACAAATAAACATATTTTAACAAAAGTGAAAAGTTTAATATCGCATGGCACAGAGGGCTTAGAACATGGTGTTCTTTTCCCACTCCTTTTGTTTATATATTTTGAATTTTGCGCATTCTGATTGGTCAAGAATGAAAAATGCAAACAAACGCACTGTACGTACCTTTCAACTACAAGTACAAGGCTATTATTTGGTATTGCACGTATTAGGCAAACGTGAATCTATTGAGTATTGTCAGTATTGAAATTACGCACAAATGAAATGTACAAAAAAGTAAAACACACGACCGGTATATTACTATATTATAATTAGATATATCGCGAGTTATATTAGCCATTTCTATTTCAACTGATCGTAAATATCAAGAAAAATAATCGTAAAACGAAACAGACCCAAATTTCGCCGCAGGAAAATTGGAATAACTGTATATCAATATTTTATACTTGTATAGTATTCACTTTATTCATTATATATCTTGGTTAAAAATGGTCTGTTTTTTAACTTTGCATGCAAACATTCGCCGTTTATATGTATTAGGAACTTCTATAGGCTAAAAGAAACCTTTAAAAAGCGCTGTGAGAAACAAAGTGCTGTCAATGTTGTGCTTATTGATCGAGAAAGACTCGCCGTCAAATTTCCCGCCTTTTTTTCCAGTTCTTGTTTCTTTACTTTTACGCGTTGAAAAGCAGTTTTAAACAAAAAAATATATTTTTAGGTTCTACTAACCTGAATTATGGGTTTTATTCTTTTGAATTTGATATTATTTGGCGTTGTGAAGGAAATATTGCTGTCAAAATCTTTAACTCTTTTTAAAATTTCTATATTTTTGTTCAATGCAGTGTTTCCACTTTCCACTTTAACAAAATTTATTTCCTTCCTTATGGCTAAAAATCTAGTCAATCCATTCTGACATATTAATTTGTTGTCAATAACTATTATTTCGCATTAGAAGGAGCAAAATATCGTAGGATAGGGCCGATATCTTCCTAGTATCTGGAGGCCTTTTCCAGAAGAGGAAAGGAGTAAAATGGGAAATGAGATTGCCCTATTTTCACACTGGAAAAATGGGATTTAGTTCCTGGGAGGCTGGGAATGAGATAAAGGTTTGTGTTTAAAACACGGACTGTTACACACATATGGTATCGGATTTGTCTCGAGTACACGATACCGGATTGATTCAAATAGAAACAAAATGGGGGACAACGAAGTTAGGGCAAGGAAAAAGTAAAATAAAGGATCGCATTAGAGGGATTGCACGGAAACAGAATGTACCCAATCATTTTTCATGTCACCTCCAGGAGGAGTTATTTTCACTCCGAGAGGAGTAATTTTCACTCCGTGTCCTAGGGGAAAATGTCCCCCCGGACACTATCCGCTAGCGGATCATCTCTCCCCGGACACTATCCCCTTTGGCGTAGCATCCAAAATCTCTTTATTTTTGTTTACTTTCATAAATTATGAAAGCATTGTGCTTTAAGTGCTTTATCGCTTGAGAAAGCTCGAAATCTTTTTAAGCGCGAGTTAGCTTCATGCTATGACTTAAATTGAAAAATGATTACAAAATATCATAATTAAATCAGTATACGACATAAAAGAACGACTAATGAAATGAATTTACACCTCCAGCATCCTAAGCGGTTTATTTGGCGAATCTTTAGCACAACTTCTTGCTCGTTTATGTAGCTATATAGTTTAAAGTGTATTACTTAACAAAACTTTCTATATGAAATATAATAAGGCCAAAGGACCTGTTGACAGGATTTCGGCTGTTCACAACCTACATTTTATAGTTCCGTTTGGTTTACCATCTCGAGCCATTGACATAATAATCTTCACATCCTCTGACGTCGCGAGTTTGCGTGGGTTGCAGGCCGTCCACGGATCTTTCATGGCGCCCTCACAAACCAAGTCAAACTTGTCCATGGGGAAGTTGACATCGCTCAATGTTCGCGGCAATCCGCAATGACGAATGAAAGCGTCCATTGCCTCTGCTGCTGAAGTTCCTGCTGGAGCACCAAGGCATTCCGCGACTATAGCACATTTCTCTGGTATTTCAGGCTGGTTGTACTCAAGGACGTAAGGCAAGTTAATACAAGAGGTGTAGCCATGAGGAATGTTTGCAACGGCTCCTTGAACGTGCCCAATGGCATGACTGGCACCATAATGAATCCCCATCATAAGAGTGCGTATAGCTTGCCAGGAACCGATTTGGCATTGCAATCTTGCATCAATGTCGCCAGGATCTGCCTTGGTTTTCGGCAGAGATTGCGCCAAAAGGCGAAGAGCACCAGAAGCTACGGCCGTTGAGAGATGATGGCCGTTTATCGAGCAAATGGCTTCCGCACAATGATCAACGGAACGCACTCCCGTCGACAGCCACAACCACTCAGGGGTATGGAGGGTCAGCTCTGGATCAAGGATGACACATACGGGTTGCAAACCCACATGACTAAACCCTTGTTTATGGCCAAGTTGAAGGCTTGTCACGCCAGCAATACTTGTAAATTCTCCTGCGCTCAATGTCGTGGGAATGGCGATTTGAGATATCGTTTTGTTGTACGTCCATTTTGGATTCTTCGAATCCTTCTTAGCAACATATTTGTCGAAATGTTGGACTTCGGTGATATTTTGATCAAGACACAAGTTAACAGCTTTAGTTCCGTCAGTAACCGAGCCACCGCCGATACTAATCAGCAGGTCAGCTTTTGCAGAGCGAGCGGCTGAAGCAGCAGCCAAAATGTCTTCACGAGGAGAATGCAAGCGCATACCATACCAAGTTCCAACGTGGTTGACACTTGACACCCAGAGCTTCCTCGCACTTTTTGATCTCTTTCGTCTTTGTAGCCAGCGTCTCACTGGCGATTATAAAACATTTAGACACCGCCATATTTTTCACTTCTTTAGCCAGACATTCGGCCGCTTTGCCCCAATACACTCGCTGTAAAGCAGAACTCCGCCAAAAACCCGATTTATACTTGGAGGAAGAAATCATGGCTCGTTCAAACTTCAAGTCTTTTACCAGGTTTCAAAACGCACTGGAAATAAACGTGAAATCCATTACGTTCAGCTAGGAAGTTATATATTTATATCTATATGTATATCTTTATAACCCCGAATTACTTTTCGACTTCCGGCATGCTAATGACTATGGGGGTGAATGGCCTACAATTTGATATGCAAATATCAAACGGGGATTAATCAGCGACAGCCGACCGGCATCGCAAAGATCGCATAAGCAGTAGCGTAGCCAGCCTGACGATTTGTCCCGCTATGCTAATATTTTGGTATCTATTTATTGACTATGAAAACAATAAATTTCTAAAGACATCAATAATTATAATAACTCGAAATTTACATAGCGGGTCAAAATTATCAGGCTGGCTACGCCACTGCGCATAAGCGTAGGTTCGATTCCTGCCGGAGGACTGATAGTTGACTAATTTTTCTCAACTTCTCTGGCTTGAATTGAATTACAGTGTATCTATATTGCTCTGTTTCAGTGCAGTGTATTTACCGGATACGTAGCCCGAGTTAACGCTCATCTTACGCGTCTTGTTCCCGTTGAAATGAAGTGCAATGCCAAAGAAATATAACCAAAAACATCCCTCTTAATCCCACAGGATACTTAGGGTTCCTCACTCACTTTACTTTACGTTTACGTTTTTGATTTTGAAATTAAAATTAAGAAATGTTTAGTCTGGGCACATGACACAGCACATGACGGAAACAAAACACAACAAAATACGATTTTGTGTCTTCAGAATAGAACTTTTCTTATGGGTAGTTGTTGGAGTGGCTTTTTAGCCGAGCTACAAAACATTCGACGTCCACTTGATTATATTGGAAGGTAGGTAGAACTGTGGAAGTTGTATAAAGATGCCAACTTTTTATTTCTAAATATGTGACAAAGTTGACATGGCAATCTGAATTTGACGGTGTTTCAAAACTTCATAAATCTTGCCAAAATACGGCGACAAGATTCAATGCAATGCATTTTGGCGCTGATTTGCGTGAAATTGTTGCAATTTTGAATGTTGGGATGTTGCTATGTCATTCCACATGATTTGTCATTCGATGGTGCATGTTTATAGCCTTGATCGAACACGAAAATTCTCAAAGGAATAGCAACTTTAATGGTAGACAAATGTTACATCTGTTTGAATACCACTCAAAAGACTTCCTCTGAAGGTCTATAGGTCCTTGTGTTCTGAACAAAACTTCACTCTCTCTAGTTTGCTTGTCAAGGCTGTCAAATCAAATTAATCAATGGCTTATGAATTTGCTATGTATATGTGTGTTAAATTGAATAAAATGCTTCATGGATAGGTTTTTCCCCCCTATTTTTTTCTTGTACAGAAGTCATCAAGCGAGATCGGCAAGATATAATGTTCGAGATAGAGGTGATGGAATTGAGGTAAGGAAATAAGTTTTGTTCAATAATTAGATATTGCCAGATTATCCTATAAGATATGCTATATCAGGTTATTAGTATGATAATTTTTAACACAAGTAAATCTGAAATTAAAAGTACCCCAAATTATTTTTGGTGGATAACAAATGAATAAAAGCAAAATTAATTGCAATTCCAAAAAACACTAATTTACCGCGACCGAAGGAAACATGTTTTGTGGACTGAGATTTTCTGAAGTCTTGGTACATTTTTTATTATTACCACTTCACTTGTAAAAGAAAAACCCAACAACAAGGAAACAATGACATATCCATTCATAAAAGACATAATTTCAAATGGGGAGACAGTCTAAAGGTTGCATGTCCAGGTACGCTGCACACATGATTAAAGTTGTACAAAATGGGAAATAACACGTTATCTCCCTCTGGTCACGTGGGCGGCATCAAAATTTTGTCAACTAAAATTAAAAAACTAAAATTTTCAAAGTGTTTCCCCAAGGGACATTTGTGTGTATGATAGTTTATCAAAGTTTACTTCCTCCATTGGTTACAGCCTTTATGCTATTGTGTTTAATGCCCTGGGGGATAGGTAATCAATTGTATGGTAGGATATTCATTGGTGTGATCTGTGGTAACAATATGTTTTATTTTTCATTTTTAGTTTGACAGTTTGCTGAGTGAGGTAAGAAATACATATCAATTTTTTTTCAATATCAATAATTATAAAATGTTCATCAGTAATTATAAAATGTTCATCAGATTGGTTTCAATGCTTGTTTGTTTTGAAATGGTAGACACAAAATACCTGGTCGTAGTCAAGTATTTTTCTGCCTAAAGATATTTCGTTTGATTTTCATCCCAACCAAGATTACTTATAATCTTACAATTGTCCATGGAACGTGTGTGTCAACCTAAAAATAAGGCCATATAGATATAGAGCACTCGAAAATATATATTATTCAGACTAATACTGTGTGTAAATTATTTTGCAGGATGAATATGAAATTCAGACAAAACCAAGGCAGTGAGTTTCCTTTTGTAAAGTAAACTGAAGTAACTGATGGTATTACTGCTGCATGGAACAACGCAGACTTTCTCATACCGCAGGATATACAGCTAATTAATTTACAAAATGAATAAATATGATGAGTGAATCTATATATTTTCTTATTTGAAAAATTCATATTAATATATTTCATTTTGAGGATGGAAGGTTTAAATGCTTAGTGTTTCAGCTTAAAGTGTCAGCCAGGTTGCATGGCAATGATTAGCCGGTAATTCAATATTCAGCTATAGTTCCATACTGAGAGATATATAATATTGCCTAATTTATTTCCAGGAAAGTGATAACAGACGAGGAAGCGACGTTCATCAACCAGAAGAGATATGGTGATCTTGCACAGAAACAAAAGACAGTCAATGAACAAATTGATCGGAAGGTAGAGTTGTAAAGCTCTCTTTGAGCATAGTTTTTTGACAGGCTAAAGCTTTGCTGTTTGTCAGGATAAACTTTTTGCAATGCATGCATTCACCCATGTATATTAAAGCCTTTGGTGGCGGATCTGGGCGGGGTAGTCAGAATAGATACACAGCTGAATTTTAAATTCAAAATACATGTACCTTAATAACAACGCTGTTGGTTATAGATTTGAAAAGAATATTTTTAAATAAAATCTACCAATACGATTGCGATTTTAAGCTGTAGTAATCCATTACCCCTAAACTACCCCTAGTTCCGCTGTAAAGTCCCATCCAGACGGGCAAGTTTTCCTTGCCATGTTTTATTTTCACGCGAAAAAATTGACAAATTTTCCTTGACAAGGGGCCTTGTTCAAAAGCTATCTATAGTCATGCCAGCTTTTCAAGTAGAAAACTGCGCAACAATATCTTCGACCAAATTGAGCGTTTTTTTGGAAGTTTTATCATTTTTGTTTTATCAAGTTTTTATCATGTTTTGAGATTCGGTCATATACTCATTTTATATTATATAATATACTATATATTATCGTAAAACTTGTCATGAAAAACTTGTCCAGGAAAAAAGGGAAACTTGTTCTCCATACACACGAGCAAATGAACTGGTCAAGGAATAGCACTAATTCACTCATTTGCATATATCAAAAGATCAGAAAATCGCAGATGTGAAAGCGGAGCTTGTACGCCAATGCACGCGACTCCGGTTGTATCACTTTAAGATTATACTAATTTTACTAAAGCCTTATATAGAGGTGAATCTCACCCTGATATTTGCGTCGGACAATTATTGGCGTGATTATTGAGTCGTAATCGCAATTACAAGTCCGTTCAATGACCCTCTTTAAAAACAGTGTATTCTGAATCTTTTTCATAGTTGCAAAAACACGAAGAAGATTTAAGACAACAAGAGGAGGTGAGTTATTTAAATTATAATTGCATATAAAACAATATTTACGGGAATGAGCCAGTTGTTCAGAAGCATGCAAGTTATACTTCCAGAACTTCCACAACTTATCACAATATGACAGTCTTCATAGGTGGGATAGCAATAACAAAAGAGAGAAACAAATAACTTTTGAAAAGACTGTATAAAATATTCTATTAACGCACACCCTCCCTCCCTTGCAAGTGGTTGTCATTTTGAAAGAAATTTCTTTCCATTGTGGAAGCCCTTCTTCCCATGGTGGAAATCTTCTTTAAAATTCTAGCCAGTTTCGTTTGAGAAGTTTAGTTTTGAAAGGAATGGCCATTCCTGCATGAGGCCCTAACATATATATCACACAAACTGTCTTCTGGACTGCGCAGCAAAATTGCATTTCGATTTTTGATTTTTATCTCTTAGCATGTCGATTGCTTAGTATTCGAAGCATCGTTTAACGAAAGGCGATTTTGACAAATTCGTAATATTTTTGTTTACAACTCTGCAGAGACACTGTTCCTTCATGCTCTTCTCGAGTATGTCTATACTTCACACTATTTCGTGTCTATAGCATCACTCTACTAAAAGAGACTCGATCTCGTGATATAATTATTATCCCGCCAAATTGTCGCCCTTGTTAGATTTGTTGAATCTTGTCTCATCATTTTAAAGTATGAAATAAGCCGTTTCCTGGAAAGGTGGTAATACTACTAGGAATAAGGTAGTAATTACCCTATCTTTAATCCTTGCATGTCGTGTTTTTTTTCTAGGAATTCTATGCAGCCAAACGCGAAGCCGCCCGAGTGGCACGACAAGAAAAGGCTAAAAATGAAAAAGGAGACCGTGATAATAAAACAGAAGAAAATTCAAAGAGGATCCTTGACGACTCAGCGTTTGCATCGTGGTTGTCTGATGAGGATGATGAAATTGACGAGTAAGTTTTCATCGAGGCTAAATCTTTCAGAACTTTACTAATGTATTATCTATTATACTATATAGATGGTCTGTGTAAAGGCCCGTTTACACTTGGAATTTTTGCTATGATTTTATGTGCGATTTTCTTCTTTTGATAGATGTGAACGAGTGAATCATTTACGGATGTTCAAATAAGAGTTCTTCTACATGAGAGCATTCGTAACTAATTACTTGTTCACATCTATCAAAAGAAGAAAATCGAAAATAAAATCGTAGAAAAAGCCGCAAGTGAAAACGGGCCTTAAGAAAGCTATATTTTGCATTAAGAGTTCGTTGTCGTAAGTCGTAAAAACTCAAACGTTGATGCATTTAGTTCTCGTGTCTTCAAAAGTGTTATATTTCGTCTCCTTAAGACTTCAAATATAATTCAAAAACATAAAATTCAAAAATTTCCGCGGCATATAATTTTGAAGAGATGTCATTCGCCAATGCACAAGCTAAAAAAATTACCGGTATTCATGCAGCCGTAATTTTCATGAACGCGAGGTCCTTACATTATACGACGAACGCGATGTGGACACTTCTTGACTTCAATTCATCAATTCAGTCCATCTAGTATTAAGAGGACAGTGATCTAGATGTTTGCATCAAAATGAACGTATACGTAAATTAAAAAGCTATTTAAAGCGGGCACAGAGCTGCATGGGTTGAGAAAAAGGGAGGACAAGAACATGGCGGAAATTCGGTTTAGTTTAGTTCGGCTAATCATGGAATGTATTGAAATTGATTTATGCGGGTTTTTCTTAATGCACACATAACGCTTACTCCGAATAAAGACAGCATTTTTATTCAACGTTTCAATTTGTCACCACGATATATAGTGAACATCAACAATTTGTAGTTATGCTACACGATTTAATTGTTCTTCTTTGGTTTAGCCATGATCTTGACACGCAAGAATTTGAAGAGTTTTTACAAAAAGTGAGACAAACTACATACCCCGGAGGCCCTGCTGGTGAGTCACTTCGTATTACCTTGCAGGATTTCTATCTCGTTGGTAGGATTTATACATGCAGTAATGCATGACAGATAACTTGAACTAACCTATATACCTACTGTATAAAAGGTGTAGCAAATGGATTACATGAGCGTTCATGTACAAGAATACACGGTTGTTTAATTCACTGAGGTGATGGGACGAATGCTTCAAGATGCAAAAAATCTTCGCATTCGATTTTTCGAATCGATCATAAATTCCCATTCAAATATTGTCAAGTCACTCAGGTGTAATTCAAATACAAAGATCTGATTTTAGGCCGTTTATTTTTGTAGATACAGAAGGTGGCGAAAGTAGTAAACCTTCGTCTAATGCAGTGTTCGAAGAATCACTTCAAGATGACGTCCAAGCGACTAAACTTGCTGAACGATCATTGGACGCTTTAGATAGATGGTCGCCAACGTTTGATGACGACTAGATGAGAAAGGTCGTAAAAATTCGTCATGTTATTTGTCTGAAGTCCGGGTAGAAGAATTAGAATTGATAACTATATAGACCAGAATTTATTTCATGTTCAAATACAACAGCCTCGGTTTTGTCTTCAGTTTTCATGCAGCGTGAAGGCGAGAATAAGACTTAGCTACAACCTCGCACAAAACTTAAAAAGACCTCACACATCAAAACCCGATTAAATGGCTTTAAAAGATACGATGGACCTAATTTGTGGAATACCTTGGACATTAAACGTTTCCATTCGCCGATATGCTATATGTAACCATAGTGCCGCCCAATTTTTTTTCAAAATTTTCTAAGAACGTATAATCTTTGTAAGATTGAATTAACCACTTGCACTCTTGCAGTTTCAACAATAATTTTTTACCATGCAATGATTAATTTGCTCGATAGATTTTGTTAGATCTTATACCCACGAACTTGTTGTATCGTTGAACTTTTGTCGACCGTGCATGTTTATACAAAAAATGAGTATTCATAGATCCATAGAAAACGAGGCTTTAGTACGAATCAAAAGTGATAACGCAAATAATTAAAAGGTTTATTGCAATAAAAAAGCCCGTCTTCACCTATCTACGGACGCTTTCCTTTATGCGGTAAAAACGGCCAGACCGATCCTGTTGTATTTCTGTACAGACATATTACTGATATTTTAGAATGTTTCAAGAACTCTGCATTCAAGTATATCGTTATTTACATCTACATTTACGTCGAATTTTTCATGTGCCGAATCGAATACAAATAAACGAAAACAAAGACTTTTCCTCATCAACAGTATGATTAGGTTCAGCACATTGAAAGTTCGACGGGTGAAATGGAGCCGAGAGTATTTATACAGTGGCCCATTACCATGAAGGCTAACTTCCTCTAGTGGGAATGAGAGTGGGAAACGAAAGTATTATTTCATAGTTCGGTCTCATGCAGTCTCATGATGACAATATTGACAAGGTTAATTAACAATGAAATGAAATTGTAAAGTGATTTATTTTAAATAACCGACATCATCAGAGAAATTGAAGATGTTGTATATTTATTTCAAGGTTATAAATAAATGAGAAAACAATACTGAATGAGGTTATACATCATTATTTAAGGCTGGAAGGTGAGAGGGGAAACGGTACGGCTACTGTGCTACAGAAATGTCAAAATTATGAACCATGTTGACCAACCGAACTATATCAAAAGGGCACCTGACAAGGCTAATATGTAATAGTTATATAAAAACATAAGGCTTCACAATTTATCTCAATTTTATTTGGCTATTACATTAAGTCGTTACACTTTGTTAAATGCGGCGACATCGACACTTTGGATCTAAAATGAAAACAAATCGAAATCAGCAGCGGGCGGAATCCTAGCCTATCCTGCAATCTGATTGGCTGTAGCAGAGGGCGGAATTTGACTTTTTATTTTTGATATATATGGGCCAAATGATCATCACGATAAATTAAATAAATGAGGTTTTGATTGTTTATGTTTTGACGCCGCTGCTGACGTCCGTTGCTGTAAGCCGCTTTTTGTACAAAAATGAATACGCTATTTACCGTTTTAGTCGTCAAATACGTCCTTGGCCTCTGGCCTAGCGTCGTTTTTTGACACTTTTTTATCCGGACTGACCAAAACGGTGATATGTAATCAAGAACGGCGGACAGGTTGAAAATGGAAAACAAGTTTATCTATTTATTGAATAACTGCATCATGAGCTGAAATATTTCAATGTAAATTGTTTAATTTTCATTGGAAATACAAGAAAGCAAAAGATGTCTGCAAAGTAAGAAATGCAGCAAACAAACTACGGCAACGATTTGAAAAACAATTATCCGGTGGGGCGGGCAGCTTTATATTTAGTCTTCGTAAAACTGGCCTCTGGCCCTGATCTTTATATTTTTATCGCGTGAAACCTGACAATCACGTATACATCAGAAAGAGCATCGTATCCGATCTATAGCTAGATAAGCATTACACACGGTTTTCAACTTACGTGTTCCTCAAATTTCGTGATGGCTTCTTCCAAGTCATCTGTACCAACTTTATCATCCTCAACGACACAAGTGATTGCAAGTTTCCTAATTCCATAACCAACCGGAACAAGTTTGGCTGCATGGGAAGAAAATGATTATTGTAAATATCTAAAAGTCTACACAGAGAATTGTTTCACGATTAAAAACTATTTACTTTCAATTGAAGATAAAGGCTTCTCTGTAGAGAACCTATAGGTTCCGCAAAGTTTTCTGGTATCCTCAAAAGTTCTCTAGGTTGAATCCCTAAAATGCCCTCTATGTCTACTAAAAGTCTCTCCAGGTTCCTTGGGTTCCTTATGCATAGGGCAGCACTAATTAACAAAGAACATGCAGAAAAGATGGCTGCATTTAGCAGGAGGATAGCAGGAGGAAAATGTATAACCTCGATCTTATGTTTGTCACACCAAAAACTCAATTGCTTTTTAAGCGATTTCTACGCGTTGTGGCAAAGCGTAGCTACATATTTTCACAATGGTAAACTCAAATATTACTCAATTTTACACAAATTCAATATGCATGATGGCATGAGTCAGTTCCCAAAATCGAAAGACTATAGATTAAATAGAAAATATAGATTGAATAGAAAATCGCAGGTTTGTTTTGAAGAGTGAATATTCAACTGTTTAGAAATATCAGCAATAATCATATGGGTACAAATAATATATAGGCTAATGCTATCGTAGAAAATAAAAATAAAAGCTGGGCTTCCATAAGGACGTTATCGCTTGAGACTAACTTTATCTTAACACCATTCAATGACTAAATGTTTGCGACAATATGGAAATCAGGCTTGAAGAGCGAGCTTACATTTTCCCCAGACAAGACCATCTAAAGTAACAGAACGAACACATTCTTCCAACTTTGCCATATCTAAAATAGGTAAAAAAGATGAATTAGTTGGATTTCAATGGTTGGATGGTATACTAACTTGGATAATGTATCTTACTATATTTCCGTTATCACACTGTACACGCGCATAAAAATTGATCGGCTTGTTCCCGCGGTAGATGAGAATTAGACTGTAATGTTTTGCTGCGCCCTATACGAACATGATTGTTATCAAGTTGCAGAAAGCATAAGCTTGTTAAGCTTTAACAAGTTGTAATTCCTGTTTTATGCAGTGCAGTGGTTTAACTTAACAGTAAACATGACGGGCAAGTGAATATTTCCTCTTGCTCGGATTTGGCAAGTTTCCTTCCTGACATTATTTTGAATGGATTTTAAAAGTATATCAAAAGTTTAAGGTATTTTATAAAAAAACTTTGCAATGCATTTTGTTATTGAAAAATTTTGTCCTGATATATAGATTTACTAGTCTTTAAAGTTATCTAACATGACGTTATATTTTTTTATTAACAAAATGTATTGGAAAGTTTATTCAAAATCGGCAACATGGTATATAGGCACTTTAACGTTATTATAAATGCTTGCATGTCCTCAATTTATTTACTAGGTTTACATCTACCCAATTATTCCTACATTGAGGCAAGCACTCAATCATATCATGTATTCTGTGTTATTAAGAATATTCCTTTCATATTTTTTTAAAGACGATATATAACAAAATTGAATGAATTTAAACATTTTTTTCCCCAGTCCAGTATTTGAAATATTCTTCGACTTTGTGTAAAAAATTACTTTTCTTCAGCTTGCCCTAATTGCAAGTGGTCAAGAAAGTTAAGTTACACCACTGTCGTGGGCAACATATGTATCTTCTAATTATATTACTGATTGTTATCATACATTTAGAAACATGCAGGGCCGTAAATTAACGTTTGGTTCACTTTCATGAGATTAATGACAACCTACCTGTCTCATCGCTCCACTAAAATAAAAGAAGAAAGTACACATGTGAATTCTATTGGCAATAAACGTAAACCTCAATCAAATGAGGTCGTGAGTTGTAGCTAACTGTTATAGTGTTTGCCATACACATTGCACAATTAGAGTTTTCATTCGGTATCCCGTCAAATCAACTCTTATCAACGTTCTCTATATATACTACTCTAAATATTGTTGCCCCATATTACTCCATGTAGCGTTGAACCTTATGCATGAATATTGCAGTTCAAACGATCTTGAACATTGAAAATATATCAAACAAGGAAACAAGGACCGGAGAAAATACAAATCAGGGGTCAATTGTATAGCTAAGACTAGCTAACTTTTGAGGACTGCTTGGCTGAACTTTTAAGTTAACTTTTAAGTAAAGAATTGGCCAATCACAGTCGTGCATTTCTGAGTTAACTAGGATTTAACTACGCAAAATAGAGTTAAAGAGTTTTATGCATGTACAACGAGCCCCTGTCAAAAAAGCCATGTAAGAAAGAACGTAACGTTTCCAAGCATTCCGTCTGCATTGGAACTTCATATTGATTTTGGGAAACTCGACAATAGTGACTTGCTCAAGTGCTGTGTATTCTTCAATTTTATACGAGTAGCTATATACTAACCGGTTTAACATCCAAAATAATATTTGACTTCGCAATCACAGGAGCTTCTGGAATTTGACAAAATATTAATAATCAATAATGATATATATACGTAACTATACTATGCAAAATATGAATTAGTACGGAAAATATAGCCATGTGATGTTGGTAATTTTTGTATACTTTTGTATTACAGGCGGAAGTGTGTAACTAACTCAGTTTCATGCACTCTTCCGACCATGATATAAAAGTATATCAAATTTGCCAACCTTGCCTGGCTATATATCTCGGTACTTTACAACAATTTGCAGCTAGCCAAACTTGGCAATGTTACTATAGTATAGTATGCTTTGTTCAGAAATTCTCTTTAACCGCCTGGTAACTCACTTTTTGCCTTCTTTTCTGTATACTGTTGGATTCGAATTTGTTTAATTCTCTCTTTTTCCTCCTCCTAAATTGTTTTACACAAATGAAATGTGATTAGCGAATATGACACATACTATGAAATAATAAAGAAGTTATTTTAGGCAAGAATTAACTTGTTTCATGCGATTCCGAGTATCGTTACTATTCCTACAAAATTAGACGAACTTGCTACGAAATATGAGATTCACATTTTAAAATCTGACACTGCAGAGAACAGTGAACCCGAGCTATATGCCATTCTTGGGTATCTGGACTGCTGCTCAAATAACAGAGCTATCGAGCCAACTGCATGTTTAATTGCACCATATATTTTCATAAAAACTTAACACTTGTCATAGAGAAGGTGAAGTCTTTTAGTTTTATAACACTAAAAACAATCCACAGAGGTCAGAAATATACCCGTACAACTAATATTAATCTGAATGGTACGTTCAAGATATTATCTCGAATCGGATATAGCTTGTTTCCTATCCCAAATGAAACGATATCCTGATTGGTAGAGCGGTTGTCTTGATACAACAAGATACGAGTTAACATGCAGCTAATAACTATAACTATTATTTTCACATTTCACACCGCTCACGGTGTTCTGTAAATGCATGAACTAGATAAAATTAAACTACTTCTCATACATACATCCGATGAGCCAAATAAATCATCATCGCTGTCATCCTCGTCATCAACATCCTTACTCTCAGTCTTCACAGGCTAATAAGACAAAAAATTCTTGTTACAAGAATAGAGCGCAACTACGCGCGCTGAAAACAATCAGGTCGCGCAATAGTGATATGAACAATACTGAAGAATGTTATGCTGCCCGTATTGTACAAATTGTTCAATATTGTTGAAAGTGCGACCAATATGGGCGCAACGTACGTTGTTTAACCATGAACGAGTTTTTGCATGGTCGTGTATGTAGGAGTTACGTAGCAGTGTCGTGAGGTCATATACACGTGCAGCGCCGGGCAACCAGGAGAAAAACTTTATAGAGGCTAAACCTTTTAGAGGCCAGTTTACACTTGCGATTTTTGCTGCGATTTTCTTCTTTTGATAGATGCGAAAGAGTAATAGGTTACGAATGCTCTGACCTGTACTAACTCAGTAGCTCTTATTTGAACGTCCGAAACTAATTCACTCATTTGCATGTATCAAAAGATCAGAAAATCCCAGATGTGAAAGCGGAGCTTGTACGCCAATGCACGCGACTCCGGTTGTACCAATTTAAGATTATACTAATTTTACTAAAAACAGCATGTTTGTCGGGAATGCACTTGCAAACAAAAACATTATTTACCTCAGTTTTTGCATTGCTTGTAGGTGCTTCACCGCCTACGAAGAATTGCAGAAATTTAATTAAAAAATAAACATAAATCATTCTAGTTTGCCAAAGACTATGAAATAAAGTCGAAATACACACATTTATTTAGTTATGGCATAACAGTTACAATACAGAAAAATACCTTTTGTAATTTCTATATTTGCTACTCTTTCTTCCAATTTAGTGAGACTTGCTTGAATGTTTCTTATTGCTAAAACAAGGTGAGGCAAAAAGTTATTTAAACATAGTTACTGGTAAATGAATTACATTTTTAGAAACAAAAACACATAAAATATCTATGGTCTTTTATAAACCATTATACTTTCTCCACTGATCACATGCACTCATATGCTATGAAATATGGAGGAATGGAAAGCAATTGCACAACCCAGAAAAAGGTGTCCTGAAGAGTTTTTACCTTCTTTTAATTGTTGATTTTCTTTTTCAAGATTACCCAATCGTTGTCCTACACCTGAGACACATGATTCATCAGACCCTTTTTCCTATTAAATATTAGAAAACATGTAACATTAGGAATGTGCCCAGTATTGCAATCACATCTTTAGGGCTGCACTGGATACAGTTTCTGGCTGAATAATTTTCGGATATCCAGCAACAGTGGTTCAAAAGCACATAAACTAAAACACCAGATTAAAACTCAACCAAGGGTTAGCGCTAACCTAGCTTTGAACAACTGGACTCCGATTGATTGTCAAAAATCACTACCTGGATAAGATTGTCAAAAATTGCTATCCAGCGCACCTCTTAAACTGCTCTGTGACACATTTCAGTTTTACATCTCTACCAACCATGTCCTATCTGTGTCTATCTTCCTCCTGTCTAGAATTATCTGGCTACTTTTTGTCTAGAATGCTCCATAAATGGAGTTGGGCTTCAAACAGTCCATATTTTTAGTGATACAAGACACTCATTCTCAGCACATGGTTTGCTTATATTAGCAAGTTTTTTTAAATATTGTGTCACTGGAACAATATACTGTACCTGCATGTGCAAGTAAGGTGGCAGATTCATTTAAAAAAATACAAGTTTATACGCAGTAAGGCAATAGGTGACTTAACCCACCTGTTCCAAGGTCTGTTTAATAGTTTCTCTTGCTTTTGCTATTTGGTCAACAATGCTTGAACGAGGTGGACTTTGTACTGTCTGAAATGGGAATATACAAATTATAAACTATGGCTTAAAATTCTGTTAAGTGTTGTCCCATTTTGTAATCATTATGTACAGTTAATTTCAGAAATTATCATAAATGAATATCCCTTCATATTACAGTAAACTTCAGAAATGTGATTACGTTAAAAAAACCTGTCACATGCAATCACACTACAACATAACCGGATGTCAGAGAAAGGGTACCTAAAGTTAAAGGAGATTCTGATGTGTTATGCATTTAAACATTCTCTGTAAATTAATATGAATGTTCAAAGCACAACCAGTCTTCCTTAAAAAATTAAAATTATCATGAATATGTTTCAACACTGTATATACCACATTTAATTTTTCATCATTTTTGTGGCTGGTTTGGCTAGCAATTTCATGAGAAATAATGAGCCCTCATCAGCTAGAGAAAATCATAGATTGTCAGAGATTTGTCATGGATTGTCTATGAGAAAATACATTTGTACCACTTGTACCAAATTCCATCTGCAAGCATTTACAAGAGTTTTGACCCAAAAATACCCAAAGTAAAGCTAGTGTTATATTGAAATCTGTATATAGGCAATCTTTCTAAACAAACATATCTGTACAGTATATCACTGTAACAATAGACTTAATTAATTGGGGCTATTCCATTATTCTATTAGTATATTATTACATTCGGTTGTTTTCAAGAACACTTCAAAATGATAGCTAGGGGTTAATCAATTTTTCTGAAATTCAACAAAGTTATAATATTAACGGACAAAAAGCTCCGCATATAACAAATTCACGTGGTATTTTCTAAAAATTGATTATTTAATTTCTAAAAAGTTGTACAAATTCAGAACTTTGGTCTTTAAATGATTAGTTCTCGCATGCAATTTAAAAGGATTTCTGCTCTTTTGCAGACTGTTAAATTTAAAATAGTCTTCTATCAGCATCAAACCAGCATTAAATGATAGCTAAAAGTTGAAACATATGATTTTTTATATTTTAATATTTATATTAAAACTCACGTCTCCTTTCGAAACAAGCGACCTTTGATAGTGACTCTCTGCTTCTTCAAACTTTCTTTGGTCAAACCAGATTGTTTCGCTTCTTAATTCAATCATTATTTTGTAGTTTCTAATGAATGAAGGGGAAGAACTATTCTACAACGAAGTAAATTCAAGACAAGAAAGAAACGAACACTGTGTCCTGTGAAGTGTTCGGGAGAAAAGGAATGATCGTGTTATAATTTTTCCACTTTGAAAGCGCAATTTTCACTCGCGTTCGCTGTTTTCAGAGGTTGTTTGAGGTTGTTGGGCAACAGACAGCCGATACCATCTATAATTTTTGGTTTATTTGGTCAATATATATTCATTTTTACCAACATTTAGATACCTCTCCTTACCATTCAATGCTTTTTACTCAAACCCTACATTACCGCAAACTAAAGTATCAGTATACCTTAACTTTGAATAAGAAGGGGGGGGGTTGTGTCGACGGGTCGTCACTTGAATTGGAAGCCAATTAATTAAGTTATTATGAGTAAGACTTGTCGGAATCTAAATTAAATCGTTATGAATATAAGACTATGAATAAGACTTGTCGGAATCTAAATTAAATCGTTACATAGTTCCCAAGACCAGACCCAGACAATGGTGAAAAATAGCTTATCCAAACATGGATGGAATAACTTACAAAGTATTCATTAAAAAAATTAAGTTTCTTCTATAATTGCATGGCCCCTAAATATTTTTGTCTTGGAGGTGAACTAGATTGGTGCAATATACAACTGCTAATTAACTATTGTTGGCATTTCACTGTAACTCAACGAAATACAACTATTTTGCACCTCCGAGAGAAATCAGTGCATGTAATCAGAAAAATCAGATCGGCCCTGAAAATTTTATCTAGTTAGCTTTTTAAACTGATATCTCATGAGTTATCTTGCTCGAGAGTCAAAGAACTGTTCGTCAGTTAATTAGAAAAACGGTAAAAACGTTACATAGATATATATCTATTACAAGCTATATGAATATATATTTATGAATTATACTGAACAACAAAAAAATGAAACAATATAGAATAGCTAGTGAATAACTTTTCTTGCTCGAGTTAACAAAACGTAATCCATGTATACCATTCCTAAAAGGAGGAGACCTGAGAGTTTACAATAAGAATCTTCATTCCTCGAAGGATTCAAAGGATTCAAAACACAAAACAAAAATTTCTGTACGCCTAAAAAACCTTTACGAAGTGTCCAGCTCATGGTTTTATTTATTACCTGTACGTTATTGCAGGAGTTCTACCAAAAACAATACATATATAGAGGAAATGATAAAAAACTTATAAAATAACATAATAAACTTATATAAGTATTCCTTTTTACTTCACTTACTTACTTACTGACTTATATACTTAAGTATTTCTTTTCATTTCACAACTATCTAAAGTGCTCATGATGAATCAGGATATATAGATTAGAGATATATAACTTATATTGTCGAATTAATTGTGGGCAGTGCAGTCTATCAATCAAGCTTTCTACTGTGTTTACTATTTCTGTTTACTAGTATATATCTTGTGAGTTCAATGTCTTGATATTTTTACAACACTTGTCCTTCACCTCGGTATCCGTTGACTGCTCCTACAATACCGGTTCTTACAATTTCAACGCCCAATCTTTTATTCCTGAACTTTGTGAGTTCTTCAGCAACTGCCTTTGCAACCGCTCTTTTTAATTCTGGATCAAAAGCTGTTTTGGCAGCTTTCGGGAAAGCCTCTCGAATGAAATTCTGAGTGAAAATTTCCACCAGCTGCTCAAAGACTGCCTTTCTATAGCACCTGTTAAACTGCCTGCTCTCATCAGAATTTCTTTAACAACAGAAACCGTAGTCTGCTTGTTGCTCTCTTTCAATGCTTCATCTATGGTCTGTCGCAGAAGGTCTTTCATACATGCCGCGATAGTCTCTCCAACTTTCTTTCTCGCTTCCTTACTAGCCAGTCTAATACCATCTTTTGCGAATACTTTTCCAAAAATTTCACCGATCTTTTTTGTCGCTTCTTTTGCAAGTTTCTTTGTGAGTTGTTTTCCTTCTTCGACGGCGACATCTTTGGCAGCCCCTTTCAAACCATTTTTAGCGATGTTTTTTGCTAATCGTCGACCTCCCTCTTTTTTTATTTTCTTGGTGGCTTGCGATGCGGCAGCTTTAATCGTATCTTTCGCAGCTTGGTTTGGACCAGCCTTTAAGACGTTTTTTATTGCTTCTTTTTCTGCTGCTTTTGCTTGTCCCTTTTTACTTTCCTTCGATGCTTGGGTTGCTGCACTCGCCATTCCAAATGTGATAACATCTGCAGTGGTGAATATTCCATCAATTGCCGCTCCATAATAATCACCATAATAAAGGGACTTAGTTGTTTCAGCTACACCAATCGCTATAGGAATTGCAGGATGAAAACTTGATAAAAATACCTTCCCTGCTATCACCGCACCAGTTTGTTTGACTATAGTATAGAAATAGAAAATTATTTCAATTTCGAGCGTTCCTTGGCAATCAATGCAAATCATGCAATGTTTACTCGCTTTTCATCGTTATTAACAACAATACTTTAGCATAAAGAAAGAGCTATTTCTTTAGCTCTTTCGTAGATAAACATGCACGTAGTCGTAGATAAAATTTACTCAGTCTTTTTTACCAGACAATCATGCCCTTATTAAATTATTTAATATAGCTAATTATAGCGATGATGTAAATTCATAAGACATAACTGATAATTTCATATAATTTTCGCCATAGGCAAAAAGTATTAACTGAATTCTATACATCAACACTTGGAATCTTATATACGTTGACTAGGAACATCAACTTGTACTATTCTGACTGTACGAGTTAAGATGTATATAAATCAAGAATGATTATACGGCGTGGTTATATATAATAATGGTCCAAGATATATCTCGCTTAAATTACGTATTAAAATATCGATTAAATTACGAGAATACGCTTAAATTACTATTTACGTATTAAAATATCGATTGTCGTGCCTTCCGTTGCATGCCATGATAAAAACGTTTGAGCAGTTCTTTTTTATCGCGTTTGTGTATATGGAGTAAAAATTTCAGTAACTCGGCTATATGCCGGAGCTATTTGAGGCGACTTAATAGATAAATTGATGTTGCATGTTATCTAAGGCCAGCTGCGTAGCTGTTTCGGCATGCAATTGCATGTTATCCAAATTGAGGACTAATAACAAACTTATAAAATAACACAATAAACTTATATATAAGTATTCCTTTTTACTTTTATACATACTTTACTTATAAATGTTTCTTTTCATTTTAGAACTATCTATAAAGTGCTCGTGAATCAGGATATAAATTTGAGATAAAACTAGAGTTTACTATAGATATATTATACGTCTATTTAGTGCAGTTCATTAAATTGTCGAAAGAGATGTGAGAATGTGGGCAGCGCAGTCTATTATTTAAGCTTTCTACTGTAAAATCTGTTTACTATTTCTGTCTACTAGTATATATCTTGTGAGTTCACTGTCTTGATATTTTTACAACACTTGTCCTTTACCTTGGTATCGTTTGAGCGTTCCTACAACACCGGTTCTTGCAATTTCAACGCTAAATCTTCTTTGCTGAACTTTGTAAATTCTGTAGCAACAGCCTTTGTGACTGTTTTTTTTTTAATTCTGAATCAAAAGCTGTTTTGACTTAACATTATACCGCAAATTCAAATTGTCCAATTAAGATTAATGCCTTATTTATCATGCTATTTCGATTTTCGGCATTTACCCAATGGTACATTCTGCCATCGGAAATGGTAAATTTTAAATAATTCTATATTTTAGCGGAGACACGTTTGTTTTTCCCTCAACTTTGAATTTGAATTCAACTTTTTCGCCCTTTATAAAATTAGTTGAAAGAACCGGGACAAATAACTCCAGACACCGCATATGAAAAACTCATCGCTATATAAATAGCAAACCGGACCGCCTATCCACGTCCCTATTATCAATAAGGAGAGCGTTGGTGACACCGACGACGAACTGTATTTTTACAAGACATTGTTCATGCATGCATTGAACTTATATCCTACTTAATCTAATGCAATGGTGTTACTTAAGAATTTCGGTTGACGATAAGTCTTAACAAAATAAATATTTTAGTATTTTAGGCCAGTGTATAGAAATTCTTTCTGAGAAAGTATGAGAATCTCAGAAACGGGACGCTGCACAGACACAGTTTACCTTTTCGGAAATTAGCAGTCCTCGTACCTCGGGGATTTCGTTGGGTAAAAACGTTTTATATATTGAAAAGTAGCTCTGAATTAAGATGTTTGATGATTGCATGTGTAAGGAGAATCGAGGTATTTGAAAACAACGAATATATAAGTATGTACATATATTTTAAAATATAAAACTATTATTTTTATTATATCATTGTATCGCGGCAGCAGTTCGAAGCCACGGCGGTACGGGTCGTCGTATTTTGTGCAGCAATTCTGCCAGTCGTCTGTTAGGTTCTCTGTAATAATCGTTAAGATATTTCTCAGCTTTTTGCGCCAACGGAGGATATTTGCGTCCCTTGGAACTGCCCAAACACGAATGGCCGTGGTGTGAACGACTTGCCAAGCAGAAAAATCCCTTACGCTCATTGTACCTGTGAAATATATACAAACAGCCGATTATGAAAGAATACGTAAAACTGAAATCTTTTCTCAATTGTAAAAGATTTATTTACAGGACAAAGACCAGGGGCCGGTTGCATATAAAACCCTCTAACTACACTTTGCATAGTTAAATCCGAGTTAACTCAGATTACACAACTCTGATTGGCCAATTCTGTCCTTAACTACAGTTAAAAGTTAAGTATAGTCTTTTATACAACTAGCCCTGGCCCAGAAAGCAATATATAGTTTTTTTAGGAATTTTTCAAATATTTGATGAACTCTATGCATATATAAATTAACAGAAAAAATAAACAAATGAATTGCTCAATATTTTTCGAAACAATAAATGGCTGATTTTGTAGACGTATATTCAAACGTGCATGGAAACTTACTTTAAGATTGTTCCATAATCAATCTTTTTCTTCACACCAATAAATGACTGAACTTGATCCATCACTTGTACGGGATCAGATTTGAGTTGGTCGCCGTCAACGGTCAAAATCTAGACACAAAAGGTGAAGTATTCTTAACTAAAACCTCCAGAATATTTTCTTTGAGTCTAATCCCCATTTATCCCGTCGTCGACGCAAGATTTTTTTCCGTAGACAGTGGGGGGGGGGGTACATCTTTACATGACATCTATCCACCAAACGCTCACACTCTTATATATTAACAACAAGTACACAGAAAATAAACCAAAAAATAACCCAAATTAACTAACCAAAAGGTATATTGTCACTGGTTCAGTTTGGGCGTTTGCAAATTTCAAAAGATAAAAAAAGTAAAAAAAATTGGAAACAAAATGGTACCAGGCAGTATTCTAATACAGGCATCCCGCACACAAAAACAAACCCCTTGACCACTGGACTACCATATGAATGGATGGAAAGCCCACTCGTTATAGATATTGGAAATTTAAATCGGAGGAAATCAAAGATGTGCCCGACTGTCCGGGGAAAAAAATAGTGTCATCGACATTATTTCAAATAAGAAAAGGTCAAGAATGGTCTCTTTGCAGCGAGGTTCTGGCTTTGCGCTGGGATACCATAAAATACCATAACAACGATCATCGTACCTGGTTAATTGGGAAGTGCATCATCCATCTCTCAAGGTGTTCTGCATATAACCCAGGTCTTAAACAGCGAGTTTTTAAATTTTTTAGTGGTCCACTGACATTCATACCCATGTTCAGCAAGTCATAAAATTCGACCTTCAACGCGATCTTGTCACCGTGAGCTCGCATATGCTGAAAGACACAAAGAAACTAAAGGTTGAGATTTCGTACCTTGTTAACCACACAGGCGAGCGAGAATTCTGGCCAGCGTGAAACGTCGCACTTCTCATGCGCCGAATACATTATAAACAATAGAAAATGCAAAGCGCATTGGCGCAGGAGAGGTGTCTTTAAAGCCTGTTTTTCACTAGCCATATAGGTATATTTTTCGCGCAAAGCGACTTTAAGATTGCTATAAAATTATCGCCAGTGGAAAAACGTATATACAGCAGCGTGCAAGTTGTGATCCATTAAATGTCATGCACGGAGGTATAGCCTTTCTCAAGTTCTTGCTTATGAAGTGTCAAACGTTTTAGTATATAGTATATACATGCATCTCGACACACACCTATTTGTGAAAACCACAACTTTTGTTTCGCTATATAAACGGCATTCTATAAAACTCTCTGAGTATACACCAACCTGATACCAGGAATACGCTCTCCTAACAGGGTCGTTCAAAATAACGATAATCTTCGCTTCTGGGAGCAACGCTTGGACCCGTAATGGAGCTTTCATCGAGTCGAAATAATTTGCAGTCTTTTCAAACAACAATTTTGAAGAATTTGCGGGAATATCAGGAAAATTGTTCATGTACCTAAATATATATAAGTTAATTAAGAGAAAAACCAGGATTCTCGAAGAAAATCACTATAATTTTGACTCGAGAATGACTTAAAATTTAGAAATTAGGAAAATTTTCTTCAAAATTTTCTTCTAAAGTATAAGTCAAGAGTAATTTCATAGGCGACTACGATATTTTATTATGTGAACTATTTATAAGTTTAAATTGAGAAACCTCTTACTACTGTAAAATTACTGGAAATATATCTCATCCATAAAATTCTTTGAAAAACGTTTGTTTGAACCATGAAAAACTTGAACAATCTGAAAAACCTTAATTTGTTTGAACTATCAAAAATATGTCACCTATACAATGTCAATTTGGCGAGAGGTTTTGAAAATATAATTCAAGCAGTCTTGCGTATAGGAACAGTCTTCCACATAAGGCAAAAATTTATGAATCTGTAACTCGACCCATTAAAAGAGTCAAGAGTCAGAGTGCACTGTCCAAAAAGGTATAACTTTGAAACACAGAAACGAAAATAGACGTGTTTGAACTGAACCATTGAGCAACTCACTTTCTCACATTTTTTTACCGGTTGTTTACGAAGTTGATCAAGAATTCACGGCAACCCCTAACAAAAATTTTGGAGACTCCCAGAAAATATTTTAAGAAACTCCTAACTTTCGGTAACAGTGGTTTCAACAACCAACCAAATTTTACTTTCATATTTCAAAGCCATTTTGCATAATTGGTCAGTAAACAGGATGATAATACATGGGTTTTTAAGGAGTTCCCTGAAATATTTCATGATAAGAATTCCGTTCATAAAACGATTACTTAGATCCTTGACTTAGTACTTTAAAACTAAAAGAGTGAGTTATATTAGCAGCATTACATACCAATCAACGCCTTTAAAATAGTTTGAAGAGGCGAAAAACTGTGTTTCTTCGTACGATTTTTCATTTTCCTTATTCTTAAGCACTTCCGGATGTACAGAGAGGAACATGTGTAACGCAGTCGTGCCCGTCTTCTGAGGTCCAACGACCAGGAAGGAAGGAAGTCTGTTGCATGGTCTCCACGATGGCCAGATTTCTTTATGACGTGGGTCTTTGCAAGGTTTCTGAATAGAAAATGTTATACTGTTATGAATGGCAATCGCCGTATCAAACGCAGGCAAGTCACTATCACTCTCCGCACGCATTAGAAGGCACCACAGTTTAAAGACACCCAGGTTTGAATAGGCACGAGAGGACTCAAACAAGAACTGGAGTGTAAGTAAAGTGTTCTAGTGTAGAATTGAAAATTTGCATGATTTGATTTCAACTCAAACTAACCAATAACTCTTCGGAATTTATAGCATCCTACAGTACATCCAGCGAAGTACTGTAAAATATAATTTGATTATATTATTTCAAGCAACGTTTACTTACATTCCAAACTGGTTCAACCTCCCCAGGAAACAATTCAAAATATTTCTTTCCCAGCTCCAGCGGAGGTAATGACATAAGACGAAGGTTGGTCCAGCATTGAATAAACTTTATAACATTGGTGAAGGTGTACAAGGCCAGGCGATCGTTCCCGTAGTTTGACAGATGAGTCATGAAGATGCTGATCTAAGACAGGGATATTAAAATCGGAGACATACGTCATGTAAAGATTATATTATAACCAACGTAAAAAAACATTGTTATGCGCAAAATATATGCCCAGAACGGACTTTACATCATTTTTAATCATCACTCTGTTACACCGTGCAATTTCTTATGCATCTTGCAATATATTTCTACTTTTTAGGGATACTAACAACGAGCTACGTTACGTTTTGTTTATTCACAAAAGTAACGTAGCTATAGTAACACTCCATGGACGTTTCTTACCCCATACATTTAAAAACTCTTCACTTATTATGTTATCTTAAAAGTAAAAACGGCATTGCAAGTTGCAAGAAAAAATCCACCGTGTTACAGTGCCTCAAAACGTTATGCAGGCAGAAATGTATTTTAGCGAAATTTGGTGATTATGGTGACCAGCCACTTGCTGCTTGAAAATGATGTATTTGTGTGGTTTTACTATGATATTTAAGTTCGTGATGATATCGCAAACTTACAGGGTTGTTAACGATAGTCTCGAACAAGTCTCCTCCGTAAATGCTGTTGAGAAGAACCTCTTTACCACCAGGATATTCATCCAAAAATAGATTGTGTGTAAAAAGACCACAGGTCTGACGGGGTAAAACCTAAAAAAAAACAAGAACTGCTAATTAATAAGAAAAAAGAGACTACGTTTTCAACAATAGATAAATTAGAAAAATTCTAATCCTGTATTTTTTTTGGGCCGGGGGGGAGGGGGGCCTGCAAAACTGCGAAGAGGCAAATTGCTACTTTTCCCCCACCCGTTCTGAGCAGCCCTACTTCGGTAACGGTGGTTATGGCATGGGTACCTTATACATGTTGTTATTTTGAGTCTGTAGATTTTCTAAGCTTCAAATAACTACAGGTCAGCCATCAGCCCTGTCTGTTGTGTGTACATTGTAGAAGATCATGTGAAAACATGGACCAGCTATTCAGTGTAAGCTGTGTAACCCACTTTGCTTTTGAGAGAACCCTACAAATAATATGACCAAATTACCATAACACCATGATGAATAAACCCTTTTCTTCTCCAAGGTGGCCTGAGATGAGGATATTCTTCAGTTGAAGTGACTTGCACACCTGCAGTTGCCTTCCAGGCTTCATATAAGATATCACAAACAGGATACACTCCAGAATGATGGGGTGCAACTGAGTAAGATGTGTCCACAGGAATATTGTATTTCTAAACAAAATCATAAAATAATTATTAGGTTTTGTGTTTATCTTCAATGGAATAGGACTTGAGAGAGAAATGCTCAACTTCAAATTCCAAGGCTACAACTTAGCTCCACCTTCCATTGTAATTAGTGAAACAAGCCAGTTATAAACCAGAGTTCAAGAATATGTTTCAAAGTAAAGTTTGCACCAATTATCTGTTAATTTCAACTGAAGTTGTAAAATTTAAGAACAGAATCACAAAAATTGAAACCAATAAAATTGGAGGTTGAGAGAGGGCATATCAATGAAGCATTTTAATTAAAATGTTATAGAGGCCTTTTGGATAAAACTTTTAGAGAAATTTATAATAGTCTTATGTTTAATGTGTATCTACCAAAGAGTTTGTGGTACATATTTTAATATGCATACCTTTGCAAATTGCATGTTTAAAATAATCAAATCTTTCATATCTTGAAGATTATTGACCTGATGTGGTTGCTTATGAGACCAGGTGTGATCAAACCACCTGAACTCATTGGCATTTTCTATTATCTCCTGGTCGCCTTCGTTTTCCTCTTTATTTCCATGTTGATAAAACTTTCCCGAGAATCCAAGATTAAATTTAAAACCAGGTACAACTTTTTGAAGATCATGTTGAGCAATTATCATGGCCTAGGCAACATTAATAAAACAGTAAGTTTGTCCATGTTGTTAAAGGGCTGTTTATGTCATGAGCACATGCAGTTACCCAAGATTCAAGGAAGCACAAGATGATTTTGATGTATTGAGATAAGTATTTATGAAATATATAACAAGCATATGCTATTGTTGGAATGAATACACTACTATCAGGATCATGTTATAAGTCATTTCACACTTTGTTTAATCCCTGCAAGCAGGACCATGTAAACAGCCCCAAAGCATATCCTGATATATCCTACTTTGTTTTCTTGTTCTGGCTACTAAAAAACTACACATGAGGTCAAAAACAATCTGTCAATGTTTTCTTGTTAACATATTATTGGCTGGTAAACCAACATAGAGTAACTTGAAACAAAACTTTAATTACAGCTAATTTTGCTTGTCAGTAGAAGCACAGCCAGTTAATGTGTCACAAAGTTGACAATGCTTCTTGCAAGACTAAATTTGATAGATGCAGTGTATGTGTATATACATAGATTTGTACATACATTCTACAAATGTACAATGTATACATTGTACATACATTGTACAAATGCCAGATAATATCTACAGTATAGATAAGCCGTTAATGGTTTATACGAAAAATTTGGAGTTCTATTACGTGAAAAAGCATAATGTTATTTAGCTAATGGCTTTAATGCCTTTCCTGCTCATTGCCCCAGGACTATTATGCAGGCTCCAATACAAGGTGTTTAAAAAATGAAATTGCCACTTTAATATGCTGCAGAGAATTAAATATCAAGTCCAACAATATAATGAGTAATTTAGCTCTGTAATAATGTCTTTTTCATGCCATAATGGCTAGAAATAACCAAATAATTGTGTTTTTAAAAATTGCAGCTCGAAAACCACATTCCTTCACTGTTCAGAATTAAGCAGATATTGATTTCTTTGGCACATACATGCATCAAAGCTCAAATTCCATTCAAATTAGCTTTGCATTTTTCCTTCGATAGGGTGAATTTTACTTCAATCACTAATTATATAGTTTTAAAAATATTCTTGAAGTGAAGACAGGTATAATTGAAAAGCTAAATAACTGCTCTTTCTTACTAGGATAAAAACAAAATATATATTCTGCAAAAACGTCTGTTAAATTGCATTGTACATAATACTTGCCTTCACATCCTCAGTTTTCATTCGTATTCCAGTTCTGCCGACAAATATATCATCAACATCCACTTGAATCCACCTTACCAATGTTCTGGATAGCTTTTGCCGGGACACAAACCTGAGTGCATCAAGAAATAATAGTTTGTGAGGCCAGAATGACAAACCTGCCCCAAAATATATTTTATGAATTCTGTCTCTTTTTCCCAGATCATGGACAACAACAGGAAACTCCACTGGATTTCCATATATTTTTATTTTACTTTCAAAAGTGGCATTAATAAAACTACACTTTGCTATAACTTCAAAACTCCTTTTAAAGTCTGTATTTCTCTCTGGGATAAAAATTGACCATTTCTTTGTGTCGTGTTTGCCTTCGGAATCTAAAACATTTCCTTTAAGAAGCCGTAGAATTGTAGCATTACTAGAGAGATGATATGATTTGAACTGTCGAACACTTGTGTGCACTTTAAAAGGAAACAACTCGGTATTTTTTAAAGTGCTTGGTTCAGCACGGTTGAATAATATCATTCCCACCCCGAAGGAACGACAATAATTATCTAACAGTCGTCTATTCCACAAACTCATCCCAAAATAAATGCTATAACTTGTGAATATAACAGTAGAATATTTTCCAGCATCCTTCTCGGTCAATGATGGCAAAACATCACGTTTTTCTCCTTCCAAGTGATGAATATCGTACTCAATGCGATGTCCTTCTAGAAGATGCAACAAGCCTCGCAAAACCAAAGCTTTTCTGGACAAAATCAGAACGCGTTTGTATACATTCGCAGATCTGTTGAAAAACATATACTTTGCCGTGTTTACGGACCCTGCTTTATTTGTGTCAATTCCTCTACAGTTCCGAACAGGGAATGTCACGGTACCTCGTGAAAACACACCATGCTCAATCCAATTTGTATCTCGCATGTTCTGGAACGATTTCCATGTTAAAAATACGGCCAATGCCAGAAGGATAAAAAGCGACTTCTGTATCAAGGCACCAAAGTGGATCTTCCAAAACCTCATGCTTCATAGCTTGGCTTTTAAATTAAGGCCAGTATTGCTTGCAAATATGAGAAGATTTATAATTTGGACCACAGTTTGTATTGGAACTAAATATCACTGACAAAATACAATATCTTTGGCAGCCATTTCGGCATTTTCATTCTTCTCGTTCCCAAGCTCTTCACTGCCGCGATCATGGCGAAAATCCATCGGATCAAACTGCGGAAGATTCGCAAAGAAAACACGAATCAACAATGGGCCAATTGCAGAATTGCAAAGCATCACGGTAGTTTAATTACATAGCAAGATTTTTCAACATGGCGATTGTATTTTTCGAAAGTGGCACTGTGCTAAACACACGAAATTTGCAAGAAAACTTCTGTCATTTTTGATTCGATTAAAGTTTGTACGAAATATGTACAACTTGTTTCGTATTTCTACTGCGTCTTGGTGTTCTACGAGCGACTGCACTTAAAATATTCAAGATAGCGTACAGAGTCGTTGAAGCTGGGAAGGAGTTCGATCCGCCGTTGTCAGGTACAAATTTTTGAGTATTTCACGATCAAAAGGTAAGTACTGTATTAAATTATTTTTGTAGTGAGGAACACGTTGTGATTTTGTGTTTGCCCGAATATTTCAACGATCGGTTTAATTGTAGAGGCTCGAGAGGTAAAAATGTTTGCACACTTGACGATCATGAAACAACACATGTTTGATCAAACGTTCTTTTCACAAACCAAAACATTGAAGTTGTCTGGCGGGAAAAATAAAAACAGTTACTCTTTCAAATACCGAGCTTTCACATTTCAAAGGTTTTGAAATATTTAAAAAGTATTTTTAAGTACTATTCACTGCTGTTCAAGTTTCTCCTTGGAGTTTTTTAACAACAACACATTCACGCGAGTCAAATTTTACGCAACGTCGCTTGTTTCGAGCAAATTTTGCAGCCTTTTGGTTTACCATTTATTTTGATATGGAGGATGAAGTACAGTGGACAAAAAATCTTCGTGGTATTCCCGCATTTACGCATGCATTATTGCTTGAACATTTGATAACTGACGACTCAAGTAAACTTGGAAAACCACCGAATGCTCACAAGCATAAAAAGTACGGCTATCAACTATTCAAAGATAAGATGGTTACCCAGGTTAAAGTCAAACCTAATGTTTTAAAAGGCCAGGAAAAGTTTTTCCTCTTTAAATGTGTTGTGCATGCCTCTATGAAAAAGGCACACTATGCTGTATATGTTCACCTACGCCAAGACACTGGTAAAATATCCCATGCAAGTTGTACTTGTACAGCAGGAAAAGGTGGCTGCTGTAAACATGTAGCTGCCTTATTGTTTCAAATTTTGGACTATATCCAACTTGAATTACCTGAAGTCCCAGATGACTTAACATGTACACAACTTTTACAACAGTGGCATGTGCCTAATACTAGTGAGAAACTTGAGAGTGCAGTGCTTTTCGACCAAGTAAAAATTAGCAAAGCAACTTCCAAGACAGAGAAGCATTATGTCTCAGAATACAACAACCCAGCACCTGTTTTTGCTAAGTGTGTAAATGTTGAAGATTTAAAAAAACTAGAAGATGGTTTAAAAACTGTTGGCACTTGTGATTATTTGCAGGGCCTTTTAGCATCTAATAATTGTGAACCATTCCACTATCAGGAATTTGTCAAGGAATTACCTTCTAAAAAGGCATTTAATGATGCAGACCTATTTGCAAATCAAATGTACAATGTTGAAATTCGAAAATCTATACTGGAACAAATTACTGTTCCTGACTTTACAGAAGTGTGCAAATATTTACCTTCTCAGGAGTATATGCCATATACTAAAAGCACTCTTTATACAACCAAAGAAAAAATGGTTGATATTGAATGCAATACAAGAGGTCAATCCCAATGTAAACTATGGTTTAATGAACGACAAGGTCGTCTAACTGCCTCACATTTTGGTACTGTAATGAAACGAAGAGAGAATGTATTCCCTACTTCACTTCTTAGCAAAATCATCTTACCAGCAAGTAATGTTACTAAGCCCCCAGAAGCCTGTCAGTGGGGCAACAGTAATGAGCAGATGGCCATTCAAAAATATTTAGAGCAAAAGAATTTTGAAGACCTGATGATGAGTGCATGTGTTCAGTGTGGGTTATTTGTTAACATTGAAGCCCCATGGCTTGGTGCAAGCCCAGACTGTTTGCTACATGATCATGTAGAGCCATCATTTGGAATAGGAGAGGTGAAATGTCCATTTTCAAAAAAGAAATGACAATTATAGAAGCCTGCAAGGTTGACCCATCATTCTATTTACATGTACTTAATGGAAAACCACAACTTAAGAGAAACCATCATCATTTTTATCAAATTCAAGGTGTTATGTCTGCCTGCAAAGTGAATTGGGGAGACTTTATTGTTTATACAAACAAAGAAGTTTTTAGTGAAAGAATTTACTTTGACCATGAATTGTGGTACAAAACAATGTTACCAAAACTTACTTCTTTTTATTTCACATACATTTATCCGAAACTAGCTACTTAAGAAATAATTTAAAACAATTGTTTGATATTTATTCTGATTCACACTTTTCGTTTATCAAGGGTGGGTAAAATAGAGTGAGGTATGAACAAATTACCCATATTTTGTTCAAGTCTGATGACATCTTGAGGGGAAAAACATTTTTTATAATTCTATAACTCTTTATACGTTGTATTGCTCTTTCCACATGTACTCTCAATGATGCAATCTTCCGTGTGTCATTTTCAGCCCCAAGTGAAAGTTGACTAGCACCATTTAGAAAAGGTGGTATATTAAGCCCAACCCCAGCAGGCATGTCATCTGCTATATCAAAACCCCTGTCTGCCATAATGTCATCACCTGATTCAAGCAAATTAAGAATCCCACAATCTTTTGTCACTTGTTTATCAGATGCCCTTCCAGCATACAATTCGGATACAAATGTTGGATACCCAGCAGGAGAAATTCCAAGCAACCCCTTAGCTGTATTGTGATTTTTGTATGACGAGTATGTTACAGACTGACTTCTAAATGATGTTGGCATTTCAAGAAGTAGTTCTGTGCAATCAATAATTACACGGGTATTTGGATATGTTTCTTTAAAAGATTGTGGCATAGTTTGTTGCACATAATCACGTGATGCCCAGATAGGAAGGGCTCTTAACTTGTGATATAGAAACTCTAACCAAGTTGCCCATATACGGGAAACTTGAGCCTCTGAAATGCCAAATCTGTGAGCAATGTCAACCCCCATGAGACCGCACCGCAGGCGAACTAAAACCATAAACAACTCTTGCTCTGGTGTCATAGACCTTTTTCGCCCCTGCTTTTTTGACTCTGCCGAGTATTCCACATTGTTACTCGATCCAGCATAAGTTAAGAAATTACATGCTGGCTGGAGAAAGTCAAAGAAAACTTTAAATGTCGCATAATTTTGGAAACCTGTGTAGAATTTAAAATTTATGTCGCTGGCAAGTACATGTTCTAATCGCAGTGCACACTGTTTATATTTAGATGATAACTCCTCGTATTTTCTTTGTAAAGCTACATGATCATTTTTCAATTTTTCATAGTCCGAATCTTGTACATCAAAGGTAGTATTGTGCTGTTCAAACTGGTTTGTTTCAGTGGTTGTGTCCTTGTTTATTACACATGTATGTGCCCTTCCACGACTGCTATTTTCAGTCTGTCTGCATGATATTTTTGCAACAGTTGGCAATGCACCAAAAGATTTCTTTCCACCGGGGAAGTGTAGGGAACACACTTTGTGGCTTTTTAGAGGTTGACTTTGTATTCCTAATAAATTTAGCCATGTTTCTTTCAAGCTTGAATCCAGGGGAAATTTATGGAACGATAATTCCGGATTTTTAACATTGTTACTTCGACAGAATGGCACACAACACGTCGTTCCCCCATACTTTTTATCTTTGGGTACTTTCTTTGTTTCGCTTTCCATATATATCAAAATAAATGGTAAACCAAAAGGCTGCAAAATTTGCTCGAAACAAGCGACGTTGCGTAAAATTTGACTCGCGTGAATGTGTTGTTGTTAAAAAACTCCAAGGAGAAACTTGAACAGCAGTGAATAGTACTTAAAAATACTTTTTAAATATTTCAAAACCTTTGAAATGTGAAAGCTCGGTATTTGAAAGAGTAACTGTTTTTATTTTTCCCGCCAGACAACTTCAATGTTTTGGTTTGTGAAAAGAACGTTTGATCAAACATGTGTTGTTTCATGATCGTCAAGTGTGCAAACATTTTTACCTCTCGAGCCTCTACAATTAAACCGATCGTTGAAATATTCGGGCAAACACAAAATCACAACGTGTTCCTCACTACAAAAATAATTTAATACAGTACTTACCTTTTGATCGTGAAATACTCAAAAATTTGTACCTGACAACGGCGGATCGAACTCCTTCCCAGCTTCAACGACTCTGTACGCTATCTTGAATATTTTAAGTGCAGTCGCTCGTAGAACACCAAGACGCAGTAGAAATACGAAACAAGTTGTACATATTTCGTACAAACTTTAATCGAATCAAAAATGACAGAAGTTTTCTTGCAAATTTCGTGTGTTTAGCACAGTGCCACTTTCGAAAAATACAATCGCCATGTTGAAAAATCTTGCTATGTAATTAAACTACCGTGATGCTTTGCAATTCTGCAATTGGCCCATTAAATGAATCTAGAAATATACACAAAAATAGTGGGATCACCATAACCATCCATTTTTCACAGAACTAGAGAACAAACGATCAATGGCCCAAGAAATTTGACCACACTACCGTGTAACAGTGACTCCACAAATTCAGTAAGTCATGAATACAGTACTGTAACATGCAACTGTTGCAAGAAAGATGGAAGCAGTTTAATAGATTAACCCGACTGGTTACATAGCAATATAAATATACCAGTGTTGCCTGTGTTGTGGCTGGTTAACTACCTTGGACAAGACCAAGGCAAGTAAGGTGGGTAACACGTTTTATAAAAGCAGTCCTAGGCGAAAGAGCTCAGAGCTGTGTTACTGTAGTAAGTCAAGCATAGTCTTGTGCATAGTGCACAATTTTTGGTACGATACGGGGAGAATTGGTACAGACGTCACGAAATTTGATTGCCTAAAGCTAGTCAAATTTCATCCGTACCATGCCAACTTATTTCTTCGTTTATCCATTTACATTACTAGTGTTCATTTTAGGTTTGGTACCGATGACTGAATTTAGACCACTCTAATATATGGCCCAAATGGTTCAAATTTCATCCGTACCAACTTTATCCTTAATGATTTTAATCATTCGTAGTGTAAATCAATCACCTTATGGATGATAACTTTAATAGAGTGTACATTTTATGTTTAATTTCAAATTTTTTAATGAAAATTTTTTTCCAAATCGACGGCAAGTTATACGAACAGGTAGACGGTGTTGCAATGGGCTCTCCACTCGGTCCACTCATGGCGAACGTGTTCATGTGTTCAATTGAAGACAAACTTGCAAAACGCAATCTTGACGCCTTCCCTATACCACCGGTTTGAAAAATTTTTTATTGTTTTTTTTTACACCACGTCTTATTTTAATTCTCATTTTTTTGTTTATTTCACCCCTTATTCGGGCTATCAAGAATGGCCGTCCATTCCATTTCCAACATCTTGGACGATAAGAAGGCTGTTCGGACTTCGGACCGGTTAAACGGCGTATCCAAGTGTGAGATCATGTCAGAGTCAATTTACGTTGTTCACGCATTCTAGTTTGATTGCCAGCTGTCTATATTGCGCGTCTTGCTGAAATGTTCCTACGCCTACGCCTTATAGCGCACTGCATGTCATGCAATAGCAAGTTTTCATTGCTCATCAACACATAATACGTACGATTTTCGTTTTCACGTTGCGAGCTCATCTTACGGTCATGGCTTCTTTTCATTACTCATATCTCCAGTAACAAAGACAGTTTTTGCAGCGCGCCAATCACAGTGGTTTTGAATGATTGAACTGTCAATGCGTTGTGACAACAACAAGTTATTTGATATCACGGACGCGCGGCAAGTGGTCCTCTCAGTTTACATAGATAAATTGCCCAGAACGCGAGTGATTATTCAATGAAGTGTCTACAAATGAAAGATAAGCTGCTTTTGACCGAAAATGCGAATTTGGAAAACGGGTTGGAGTGCGTTTAAAATATCTTCAGTGCTTAGAAGAAGCTCGGATTCGTAAGTCGTGTTTATTCGTTAGACAATGGCCTATTGCGAACTCCTAGGGGAAATTTAAACAACAGTAAGATTCGCTTGGCCGAGTTATGTCAAACGTCTTGCCATGTTCATTTGCGCGATTGCGTCGAATCTTGAAACGTCCACGATGCTGTGGGTTTCTTGTGATAGCATGGATTTTTTGCTTCGTCGTATTTTGTATTATGACATACAACACGCCAGCAATAGGTATGTATATTTCGCTATATCACATGTTTACCTCGTGTTCTATTCGGCCATATTATCGGTTCTCGTGTTATGCAGGCCAAAGTACTTGAGATGTTTTACTGTGTCTACACAAGCGTGAAAATGGTTTCGGTATTAAATCATGGACGGCACACAGACACAGTCGAAGTGGGTATCATGTGTTATTTTAAACTTTATAATATAGGCATAGCCTGCTTGATTTCTCGTTACGTATATGGAATAAGACTAAGCTTCTAAGTCTTGTTTGTATGTTTTTCGGAATAATCTAAGGTCGTTCATTGACACAGTTTAATGCTTCGGCTTAGCCTTAGTCCGGTCTTTAGTTTTATTCTACACATCAACACTGCAGTTTTAAAATATGTCTCTTGCAATATGTGAAAACCGGCATTGTGGCTATTCACACAGTGCGAATTTCGTATTCACCTTTGTCTTTGTGAAACCTAATAAATGATGAAGTCGTTTCTTCTGAATGCGACAGTATAGACTGAATGTCTACATCGTTTGTTCATGCGGAAGCTTATAATTACAAACTTCAAGGTTTTTTAGCAGCGAAGAATATAAATAGCTTTGTAAACCATTCTTAATACTATTAGACGCCAGATTACGAAATCAAGCGCGCTCCGCAATTGTGTATATACCTCCTGCCGCTAGGCTACTGAAGATCAATGGGGCTTCGCAAACACACACATGGTATAATTGCCCTATGTTGTATGTATATCAAGATGAAATTCATGGTCTACTGGCGATGTAGCTACCTCGTACAATATACCGTTAAAGTATAAAACCCTTATATCGTAACTAACAACCTTAACTATATGATGACTAGGAAGCAGAATTTTAACTCGCTTAGAAACCGCAATTACTGCATGAGGTTTCCAGACACCTTATGAGAGACGTACATGATGACATGAACGCCAATGTTGCAAATATGACATCTTTGATGCCCACGCAAGCATTAATATTTTATACTGCAATTGTGTAATGAAGTTCAGGAGATTAAATTTTTTTAGTTCGTACTTCAAATTGGAAAGTGTGCGCCTTATTTCGCTATTGTCAGACTTGTTAGAATATACCGCAATTGTATGAGTAATACAAGTTCGATATTACTGTATATAATATAGAAACCAAAAGAGCATTGTGGTTTTCAATATCATTTTACAACAGACAAGATCTTTCTTAAATTTTTTTGTGAAAAAAAATCTCATAAAATTTCGTGAAGATCGCGATTGTCCTATACATAATTATATGGCTATTATTTTAATAACTCGTACATGTACAATGACAATGTTGTACCGAGATGGAGTCGCTATGAATTCTGCGCAAAACACAGTTGAATATTGAGGAAAGCATGTTTTTTGCTGCCAGATGTTTCATATATTTCCGGCTCTCTTTCAACCTGTCAAAACGTACGATAGGTTTACTGGTATTGTTCCTGTTAAAATATTTAATAACGCTGAAACGTCCTTTTCTAAATCAGATTAAAAACAAACAGAATCGTTGATGCACATTTCAATGTTGTTCCATTTGTCAGCGACCACATCAATATACAATTGCTCAAGACCGATGTAAACTGTCATGTATACACTGACCTTTCAAAGACTCTCTCTTAAACATGTTGACATAAATAATTTTGTTGAAATTTAGAAATAACTGAATTTATATTACGGACGGAAAACTCCTTTTAGACAGGAAAGTCGATTGCAAAACCCTATCTGAATCTGATTGGATTGATACGGTCGCGTAATGCTAAGAAATATATCGTAGCTAATTTCTACGATAATCGTTTTGTTCATTTTCTCTTCCCTTTGTTTCGCCTTGGCCTTGTTGATTTTTATCCGTCTAAATTCGAATTTAAGACGAGTTTCTCGTCCAGACAGGATTCCCAAGACCGGAAAATTTGAAGAAAAAACCCGTCTGTGACCGGTCACTTACATCAGACGAGTTTCCGTTTTAGATGAGTTTTCCGTCTAAGACGAGTTCCCGACCCGTCTCTAATATGGCCTAATATGAATTCGGCTAATTTCGTCTAACTGCTTGCATTTCAAAGATATAGTCATATAGATTCATAACTCTTTACATTTTATAATTGTTTAGTTCATTCAAGCTCTGCAAAACTAAATTAACGTGGTGTTACCATAAACAAACTTCCAAAATGGAATAAAAATTTAATGTTTCCAGAATTTATAACCGGATGATTGACGTGACGTTCATACAATAGCTAGAAACGTTTTAAATTTGTTATTTTTCCTTATGCATGCACGTGATTTTACAGTGACGCGTTTGTCATCAGAACTTTCCATATGCGCGAACGCCGCTTGAAGAAGAAGGTGTTAATAGTGTTCAAACAAAGTGTTATAAAATTACGACATATATCCTTTAGTTCCGAAGTGCATTTAGCCATATACATGCACATATATAGCGCACTTTTTTGTCAGAATATGGTTAGAAAACTTAGAATGAAAAGTTTATCTCATCGCAAAAAACCGCATAGCGCTGGTAGCTTTATATATATCTTTATTTGATTATTTATAATATAATTGTAATGTGAGAATTTGTGATGAGAATTTAATAAAAGTTCCACATAATATAAAACAAATACACCATGCATTCGCTCTCGTTAAATAAGGCTGATCATGATATGAGTGCTTCCATGCATGAATTCAATTTTTCACCCCTCAACTCATTGATTGTCCTTAAACCCGTAAAAGTTCAGAAGTTCACAGCTCACATGTAGATTGGGATAAAGCGAGTGGCCTGCTTATATTAGCCTATAATTAGGGTCTAAATTCAGAGCTTTGGTTTTGTGTGGCGCGGCAATGAGTTGAATTATATCAATATGTATCGATGCAAGCATCAGTTTAATACTTTGTTAGCCGGATGAAGTAGCGATTCTTACATCCAAATATCGTCATGATTTATATTATTCTACACTCTCGTTTCACAATTGAGCGTTGGCAAATCCACTCTGTCAGAGCAACCTTCACACTTAAGCGAGTTATGTCTTATCTTTGAAATGCTTTAGGGTGTACCCTTTGATGATGAATGAGTAAATGACTACACTCCAACACCCTAAAGTAGTGACATTTTGGCTGGATTCTTCATTGTCCTTAGTGACTGTGCATATTTGTTGTTTTCAGATTCCAAATTCCCTTCATTGGCCGGTATTTATGTTAATTTTGTTTCCACCAAACTAAGTGTACATACGTAGGTTAATTAAATTATATGTGGGCCAGACATGTGGTATCAGGTCTGCCACAACTTTTATCAATAGACAATGGCTGACAAACCGGAGACGAATCGTTTTGAAAACATTTATCAATTTATTACTACAAAACAAACATGCATGCATAACCCTGCATTCTATTATATGCGGCACACATGTTGCGATCATAAAACGTTAGTTGTGACAAAATCACAGGCTGAGGGAAAATTGATAAAATAAGATGGAGGCCCCGTGCATGTAATTACAACAGTTTGCAATTAAATTGAGTGCAAGAATGGAAAAAACGCCAAAACACATGCCGATTTTAAACTTCACTTCTCAAGGGCTCGTGCTTATAAAGTAGTTGTAGACAATTTGGGATTTATTTCGAGTGTGCTTCGGAATTTATCCATTGGAATGTTGTTTTTCCAACACTTATCTGAAACTGCTTAAATAATCTTAACGTAAAAGCTTCACAGTCACAGACGTCTTAATCAGATTCTTGAAATGGGCACGCGCAAAATAGCTCCGTGCTTGTTGTTAATTCTGAACGAGTGAAATATACATTATAAATTAATCTAAATTGTACATCTGTTGTGAAGAAATATACCCAAATTAGCCAATGTCAGCCATGTTGAATGTTTCTGCCAAAATCTACTTTGCTGTTTTAAATAGGTCTCTTAAGAGAAGAAGTTCTTCGTCTACGTGAATATAAACTATGACCATTTCGAGTGTTATTGTTTTAAATATGGCTGTATGGCATCTATGGCTGCTGGTTACCCGATATTGAACGAAGCATAAAATGACTTTGAGGTTATGAGGCATTGAAATGGGTGGATAACATTAACCTGCCAGTCGTGTAGTCATCCTAACAATAGCATGCGCGTTTTTGGTCTCAAAAAAATCACTATCCACGGTATATGGATAAGGCTATACAACTTTCGTACAACCAACCTCTGCAATTTAAAACTATCGAGATAGCCTATATACGCGGATAGTGTGTAAAATGGTCTTCTATGATTTGTAAACGAAAACCTGAGATTTTATAGACTTACGAATAAGGCTTCCGAATTGTAATTGTTCGTGGATTGCAAAATACCAATTTGCAAATCAACTCGGAAAAATTCACCTCGGACCTCACTATAAAGCGATGTTTTGATTCAGTTCATGTAAAATACAACGGCGTTTAAACCCTTCATGATTTGCACTTGCATGGAAATATATAAAGGATTGATAGAATAAGAATTCAAAACGCCGGATAGCCACACAAAAGGCGGGAAGCAGATTCAATTAAGTTTAATATCACTTCAATAATACTTTATATATGGCGTTTTAATAAGAGATCTAATTAGTTTGACCGTGGCATTGTTATCGGAGTTCGCCATTTTGGCGCCGTTATTGCGATCATAGTTAATTAAGTACTAAGTAAAGAAAACGTCATGTTTTGGAGAAGAACATTTTCATTGCATGGTATGCACAGTATAAACACTGCAGAGGAAAAGTTTTAAAACAGAAGCCAATATACCAAAACTTTTTGCATGCATTTCATAACTATCATTCGTTTGTTTATGTCTATATCAATAGCCGAAATTTCAAGTTTTCCAAGCGTGAAGAGACCTTGACGATGTTCAATGTTGTAAATTTCAAGGCCGAAATAAATTTTCAGTATATAAGGGTAAATGTCGTTCATGAAAGCCTAGAATATGATATCTAAATAAAAACGACATTTTGAGCCAAAGGAATTTGTCGAAAGGGTTAGTAATTTAGTATCAACAGATATAATACAGAGCACATTTTGTGCGAGGAAAACCACATGATCGAAATTAACACGTGGTAAACTGGAAATCAAAATAAACCAGATTACAATTTCCAAATTGTTGATTTGCCTGATTTATCTCGGAACGTACGTAATAATTGACGTCTTTTTGTTAGCCACTGTTTCAAAATGCGATTTGGCGCCTGCATGACCATAAATGGAATTATAGAACCGGATGTTTATAATTTTTGATAAAGATTAGCTTGAATAATTTGAGGAACGACGGACGAATTTACATTAAATAAATTTTTAAAACGTTGCACAAATTGTTATGTCTACTTATATCCGTATTTTCTAAAATTAGCTGACTGATTAAATTTTCAAAGTCATTCAACAGGCTTTAATAAAATATCACTGTGCGTCTGTGATCTTCAGTAATGTCAGATTATCTTGAATGCTTCCGTCATATTTTCTCTCTATTTTTTAACATATCTTCTGAGTATTCTATACCGACATCTAATTTAGGAATTGCTTTTCATGTTTTCCAGATCTTTTCCTATATAAGCTTTGCCACAAAAGTAGCACTGAATAATCTTCTGCTACATATCGTGAGAAATAACCTTCATCGTATGTACCATAATATCCACTCGTGGTCTTTTAACAAAGAAAATCTCGAGTTTTATCCATAACCAGCTAACATCATTTACCATGCATGCATGATATACACAAATTTAGAGAGCATTTGCATGTTTATCCACCTCTTTCTACTATCCTGGATAAGGGTGTTTAGCTTAAGTTCAAAATAGAAAGCAAGTCTATCGTTTTACTCAACAAGCAAACTAAATATTTTTAACCTTAATACAAAGATATACTGTTTAAAACTACATATTCAGTGCGTAATATTCAAGTTCACTCATTCAAGAGAGATGTAAGAATGCATGTTATTTAATTTTGACTTATCCACTGTTTAAGCTAAACGGGCTGGATACAACCGGCCCCTGTTAAGAAAGACTTGGTGCTCCACAGCATTCCTATTAAAATTTGGCTTTTTTCTGGTGGAAGGAAATGGGGTCAAAAGCCGCACAGCATTATAATCTCAGAATCGCGGAAATTTGTTCATGTAGCTATAAAGATTTGGCCGTATATTTCCACTCTGGAAACGAAATTCTCCTTTGGGTCATGCAGATAGGACAGGAAAGTTTCCTTGGCTTTGTATAAAAGACGTCTGAGTACTCACTTCCTGTCCGAGCCGACACAAAGGAGAATTTTCCTGAGTGGAATCTAGCCTTAATCCGGGCTCGTGCATGGATACGTTTTCATAAGAGCTTGCGTACTTAGTCTCACATATTTTTTAATTGCGTACAAGAAATACAACTACTTCAAACCTTGAGCTTAATTGATATAGAATTCAACACTCCATCAAGACTGGTAATTTTATTAAATCTCGTCTATTAACACCGGAATTACAGATATTTCCTTGGTCTAACGAGAGTTTACGAGAGTCGTCATTATTAATCTTCCTAAGGATGGTGTGATATTTGCAGTCACATGCAAGCATTTACAATTAGTGTCAGCACTTATACATTTTTCGCCTGATTGTAGACTGATTTTGTTGGGAAAGTTAAGTGTGTTTCTGCACTAATTTTTAGAGGGGACATCTCTATGGTGCATGGAGGGGGGTATTATTATTAGTTATAGACCTTGAACAAGACGATTTTTGGGCAAATACCCCGGGTTCAAGGTCTATACAACGACTGCAATTACAAATAAACCTCGTTATAATCTTTTTATTTCTTATTTGACTTCCGTTTCTTCTTGTTGACCTGCAGATTCCGCCATATTTGCTGACAAAAATTTTCTTTTCAGACAGAACAGTGAACCAACACAACTTTGATGAAAATGGGTCAGGAAATTACGTAAGATTGGGGAATGATAACAACATTCAAGAAACTTACACCAGATCTCGCAAAGCTGCGCTTATTATCCACAAATGCACGAAATCGGCCACTCCTAAAATGGTCAACTATATTACGCGGTATCTCGAAAGTTTCCGAATTCATTACGTAATCACCCGAACGGATGATCGTTTACTCGTCGATCTGAAGTACGAGATGAGAAAAGACTCTAGCAAGGCAAAATACTCCTTGATCATTTTCTACGAGTTTCAGACGTTTTTGTCTCTCAGCCAACTAGCTAGAGACGTTATAGACAATTATTGCGCGAAATTTAAGGCGGGGCAAATATTTTTCGCTGGTAACAATTACGGGAAAATTTCGGAATTTAATTTGGAGATAAAGCGGGTGGAGAAAGACAGAACGCACAGCTTGCGAATTAACCCTGATTCAAGAATTCTCTGGATGACAAAGCCCGGTGTCGAGGCGGCAAAACCTTCCAGAACGCGTTTAACTTATATTCGGGCTTACCCGTTCGATGATCGGTACGAGACGGTGGCATATCTTCTCCCTGCGGGTGGCGCTGAAAAGGCGCGGGTTAACGTTCGTGGAGAAAATACTAAAGTCGCAATGCTATTGGATAATGGGAAAAATGCGGGAATCAAAAGGATATTTACGACTCTTAATTCTGCCTTCTTTTTATACGGCTTGCTTTTTTTGGATGCTTTGAAATATCTGTATGTTCTACCGCCGAAGTACACACTACAAAGATATATACAAGTTGATATTGATGATATATTTATTGGAAAAACTTCAATGAGACTGAAAAAAGGTGATGTTAAGGTGAGTCGCTCTTAGACATTTTGCATGACAATGACATTGACATACAGAATTGTAGAAAACATTACACAAAACTCATATGTATTTATTATACACTCTGTCAGTAGTGCAAATCTAAATAGAAGTTGTTAGGCTTGAAGTATTAGGAAGGATATTGAAAGCTACAGCCCGTTCTAATGCTTTCTCGCTCACTTAAATTTTCACTCATGCTGTGTGACAAGTGTATAAGAACATAAATTGGTACCCGTACCCAAGTGCAGTATAAGTGCTCAAGCTACCAATAAAAATGCAGAGATCGATTGAAATTGTTACGGGCATCCAATTAAACCGTGCCGTTCCAAGAAATTCAATGTACAGTATTGCAAATTGTAGATTACTAGTTGTGAAGCACGCAAATTGTAGATCACGAGTTCTGGAGGATCGCAAATTATAAATCACGAGTTGTGAAGGATCGCGAATTGTAGATCACGAGTTATGACTGATCGCAAATTGCAGATCACGTGTGAGTTTTGACGGATTGCAAATTGCAGATCACGTTTGAATTGTCAGTTGTGACGGATCGCAAATTGCAGATCACGAATTATAAAGGATCGCAAATTGTAGATCACGTGTGAGTTGTGACTGAAAGCATATTGTAGATCACGAATTATGAAGGATCGCAAATTGTAGATCACGTGTGAGTTGTGGCAGATCGCAAATTGTACATCACTAGTCATGAAGGATCGCAAATTGTACATCACTAGTCATGAAGGATCCCAAATTGTACATCACTAGTCATGAAGGATCCCAAATTGTAGATCACGAGTTGTGAAGGATAGAAAAAGGATCACGAGTAAAAAAGTGTTGAAATTTCAGAGTTATGTTTTTTGAATCTGACTTCTGTATTTCGACGCCAAAATACCGTAAACCAACTTTTCGTTAGTGAAAAAACAAACAGCACGTCCATTTAAAAAGCAGTTGAGTAAAGTTAATTTACTCAATGAAGAGCGATTTTTAGTTCATCTTACCAGTGTGCGTAAATCTGTAAACATATAATAATATATATAAATTTATTAATATATATAAATTTATAAAATGCATAGCTACTCACTGTATTTGAGCTATTCTGCAATATGATTGGCCGAGATACCAACCGTATATATCACCCGTATGAGTTGCAAAAACAAAATGGCCGATTGCTCAAGAGTGATGAAGAAGAAATTAAAATACACTTGAAATTCAGTCCCAGAGATGTAATAATATTTAACGAAAACGAGCTTTTTGTTCATGAATACGGGCTTTTAAATTTATATTCTCATGTAGAAATTCAACACACCCTTAAAGCCTTAAAAGCGGGACTATAGATATTTTTTTTGCAGTTTATTTATTGTGGAAGGAAGGAAGATTTAAAGAGACGATTATATATAACTTCAAAATTTTTACAAATAAGAAAATAAAAATGCATTGTTTCTTTTAACACTGGTTTGAATGTAATCTGGGTCTAAAGCCAAGGACTCAAAGTTGAACTTGCTGTTGTGGGCTACATATGTATTTGTATTCCCTCACGTTTTTCGTTATGAGATTCAAGTTAAACGCCAACTTTTCCTCTTTTTCTGTAGGACTTACTGCAAACCCAGAAGTTACTGCAAAGAAAGATACCGGGTTTTCAATTCCAGATTGGTTTCAGTGGCAAAGGTTACGGCAGGGGGTCTGATGCTGAGGATGAAGGTGATAACGAACTCATTGCGCATGCGTCGTCGTTTGCCTGGTTCTGTCATATGTGGGATCATGAACAAGCACATAAGTTTGACAACTTGACCGTGCTCACCGCTCTAATGGAGAAAAACAGGAGATTTGCAAAGGTACAATCTATTTGAGAATTGCGAGATCTCTAGAAAGATGTTACATGGTTATTTCAGAAAGCATTATGTGTCGAGATTTATGTTTACAGCCACCGTAAAACCTCGCGAGGCAGTTAGCTCAGCCCGAAAACCATCAGCACACGTGAGAAACTTTAGCCTCAGAACATTATTGTTTCTTTCTTTAGAAACACAATATTGCAATAAATAGTGGTTACGCAGTCAGTTCACATCACTCAGGCGTCTATCCTGTGCAGGAATCGCTTTATCAGGCATGGAAAAACGTTTATGAAATTAGCGTTACGTCTACGGAGGAATATCCAAATCTCAAACCAGCTTGGCGGAGGAAAGGATTCCAGCATATGGGAATTAAGGTACAATGCTTATTTCGGAAGAACTTTTATGATGTTTTTTGAGAGAAATGTCCATTTTTGAAAGTTGTCTGTGTTAAAGTGGTTTCCATACTAGAGCGATACCCACAGGAAAAATTTGCAAATCATTACAGAGTTGCAAATTGAAATTGTATTAGATTGGTGTTAATATTAGAGAGACCCACATTATAATCTTTAAGGCGATTCTCCATTACCTCCGCTCCGCCCGTGCGGGCGAAGCGCGCTTTGTTTTTCAGTCCCGTCACGGTCCCATGGACAGATTTTCAAAAGCCGCTTCGCCCGCGCGGGTGAAGCGGACGTTAATGGAGAATCGGCTTAAGGCGATTCTTCATTACCGTTCGCTTCACCCGCGCGGGCAAAGCGGCCTTTGAAATTCTGCCGATGCGACCGTGACGGGTCTAAAAAACAAATAGCGCTTCACCCGCGCGGGCGTAATGGAGAATCGCTGGTCGAATTATGCAGGTCGTAGCTAGACCGCTTAATTAGGAGAGGGTGTATATTCACATACTCATACCGTGGGAACAATAGCGTACAAAAAAATCAGTCGCGTGTGTTGTAGACGAGCAATTGGAGATAAAATTTGGTGATAATATACGAACAGCCATGACGAACAACACCACAAAGCAAAGTGTACTGCACAATCTATCGGTCAACGATAAAGACAAGCTTATTTGGTCGGGTTCATTCGATGCTCTACAACAATTTGTCGAAGATGTGCTAGATTTATCTGGTGGAAAATGGTCTTCTCCTGGGGGAGACGCGAAGGCATACGAATGTGAAGAGGTATCAATCCGATGGTATCCGAAAACAAAGTCGATTACAGTTAGCGGGAAGGACAAAGACCAGATCGAAGAAAAGCTAAACTCTGTCGCTTCAATATCAAAGCGACTACCTGCAGTAAATATCAATCCTGCAAATGATGAATACTTAAATAATCAGCTGCAAGATCTAAAGAAGGAATTTATCGAAAACTTCGCAGCCATAAACTCTACGCTACTAGAACATTCTAAAGAGTTGAAAGATTTAAAAAACCCGGAGACGGAAAACGAGCTATGTAGGCTCCGAAGAGAAAATCTCGAACTTAAAGACCAAAACGAAGCCCTGACTGAGAGGGTAAATAATCTAAGCCATACTATCTCAGACCTGTATGGAAAAATGAAGGCTGTCGAGGAAGAAAAAGCAAGTTTAATAACCTCTATACGGTTGTTATACTCCGATTTAAAACCTGAGGAAACCAATCAGCCATCCCACCGACAAGCCGAGAAACAAGTCGATGCTAATGACCTAAGTAAATGCCACTCAATCCCGCTTCAAAATCAATTTTCTTCACTCAGCGTCGAGGAAGCTGACAAAATTACATCAGCGTCAACGAAAGGTACTGAAAATCAATCTTCTGGGAAGCGCGTAAAAGAGGAAATAGTTGTTATAGGGGATTCGATAGTCAAACATATTGACCCGAGAAAACTTACAAAGAAAAAAGTTCATAAATTTACATACCCAGGGAAAACCACTGAACAAATTGAAAAGGAACTAAATTCTATTAATATCCAATCAACCCCCTCCCACGTAATTGTTCACGTTGGGACAAACAACATCCCAACGGATTCAACCGAAGTATGTGCGAAGAAAATGGAAAACCTTGTCGTCAAAATTAAAGCGAAATTTCCAGACTCAAAAGTTGGTCTTTCAGGAATTACGTTAAGACAGGACATTGAAGCAGCTACAAGCATCCAGGAAGTCAACAACAAACTCAAAGAAATATCTGCCAAGCATAAGGTCGCTTTTATAGACAACTCCTCTATAGATAATACATGTCTAAACGGGAGTAATTTGCACCTTAATGGTAAAGGTTCAGCATTTTTAGCCACTCACTTTATTAAATTTCTAAGAGGAGAACATCATTCAAGACCACGTAGCCGTTCTGGTGAGGATTTTCGCACGTCGACTCTCAACCAAGTAGGGGACCTGCTGAAAGCGATTCTCGCAGGGACATCTCGAACAATAATATGTTAACTTCAACAAGGTGTGATCCGGGTTCTGAACCATGCCATCAGATGAGTAACAAATCAGATAAGTCAATATTAAATGAATTAAATAGCTTGAAGGGTATAAAAATTGCATGTTTAAACATCAACAGTCTTCCAAAGCATATTGATGAGCTTCGAATTATTATGCAGAATAAGCCCTTAGATATTCTAGCAATTAATGAGACTAAAATTGATGATTCATTTTCGGAGAATGAAATTAGCCTTGTCGGATATCACCTAATTCGAAAAGATCGTAATAGGTACGGAGGCGGTGTACTTTTGTATGTCCGTGACACCATACCCTTTACCGAACGAAAGGACTTGCTAACATGTTCACTAGAAATGATATGCATAGAAATCAGTAGACCATGTAGTAAGTCGATTCTAGTAAGTACATGGTATAGACCTCCCAATTCAGATGTACAGGTATTCGACGACTTTGAAGTTTTTCTTAGCAAATGCGACTTAGAGAACAAAGAACTAATACTTTTAGGTGATTTAAATTGTGACATCAGCAAATCTCCTCCTGATCCCCACACGCGTAGATTACAATTTTTATTGTCTCTTTACCAATTTGATCAACTAATTAAAGAGCCTACAAGGGTAACGAAAACGACAGCTACCCTGATCGATCTGTTTATCACGAATAAGAAGCAAAATTTTGCAAAATCAGGAGTTATCCATCTAGGTATATCAGATCACAGTTTAATTTTTGCTGTTAGGAAACATTGCGCTTTTAATTCTCGACAAAACGTAACATATGCTCGAAATTTTAAAAATTTTAATGCTACTGATTTCCTTAATGATCTCTCCCAGATACCCTGGGAAAATGTGGCACAGCATGACGATCCAAACACTTGCTATCGAATATGGAGGTCCTATTACTTGCAAGTACTCGATCTGCATGCACCGTTAAGACGCATGAGGGTTCGGGGCAATTCCCTCCCTTGGATTACTCCAAATATTAAAAAGCTAATGCGAATGAGAGATTTTCATAAAAAGAGAGCTGTAAAATTTAAATCTCAAATCCACTGGGCTAAGTATAAAGAAACTCGCAATAAAGTTCACTCAGAAATGTATAAGGCAAAAAAAAACTTTTTCTGCAAAAAAATTGAAGATTGTGCTCTGGCAAAAGACCCTAAACAAAGCTGGAAGCTAATTAACGAACTTCTGGGGAAAAATAATAGAGCGAACAATATTTCCCAGTTAAAAATAGGCGAAAATATTATTTCTGACGATATAAAAATGGCAGAGTCCTTTAACGAACACTTCGTGAGTATTGGGGCTAAATTAGCCGCCGAAATTGAGAATAATTTCTTGGACCCAAGTTGGTCAGAAAATGTCAATTCCCAATCAGATATACAATTTAGATTTTCAGAAATTAATGTGCATGATGTATTCCTTCAGTTATATAGACTTAAAACATCAAAATCGACAGGCATTGATACTATTCCAGCAAGGGCACTCAAAATTTCAGCTGAAGTAATTAGCCCATCATTAACGTGGATATTTAACCTCTCGATTAGAACTGGAATCTATGTAGACGAATGGAAAAAAGCTTGGGTTCTACCGATTTTCAAATCTGAAGACAGACAAAAGTGCGAAAATTATCGCCCAATTTCAATTTTACCAATTATTAGCAAAATTTTTGAGCGTTCTGTTTTCAACCAATTGTATGAATTTTTGAGTGAGAACTCTTTGCTTTCTAAGTATCAATCTGGATTCCGCCCAAAGAATTCGACTTTGACTGCACTTATTCAAATGTGTGAAGCATGGTACGAAAATATAGATAATGGCGACTTGAATGGTGTAGTTTTTCTTGATATTAGGAAAGCTTTTGATTCAATTAATCACAATATCTTATTGCACAAAATGAAAGAGCAATTTGGAGTTTCAAATATTGAATTGAAGTGGTTTGAATCTTATATTTCTGATAGGGAACAAGTATGTTTTGTCAACGGCACGATATCAACGCCAAAAAAGATAGTCTGTGGGGTTCCTCAGGGATCCATCTTAGGACCATTATTGTTTTTACTTTACATTAACGATCTCCCAGATTGTCTCGATAACACCACCCCGTGCTTATATGCTGATGATACGCAGATGTTTTCAACAGCAAAGGATTCAGCAGAACTTATCTCCAAGTTAAATAGCGATTTGAATAAAATCAGCCAGTGGCTAAAAAGTAACAAATTACAGCACCATTCAACCAAAACTAAATTTATGTACGTTGGATCAAAGCATAATCTTCTTAAGATCAATGATGATATTCCTGTAATGCTAAATAGCAAACCTATTCCCAGAGTATATTCAATCTCTTGTCTGGGCGTTACCCTTGATGAAACATTAAGTTGGGAAGAACACATTGAAACGATTTGCAAAAAAGTTGGGGCAGGTATAGGAACGTTAAAACGCGTCAAGCCTTATGTTCCTGGAAACATGTTGCAATCGATTTATAAAGCTTTGATACAACCCTATTTCGATTATTGCTCTCCCCTTTGGGATACCTGCAACAAGACATTGAAAGATAAGCTGCAAAAATTTCAAAATCGAGCAGCTCGAATAATAGCTGGCGCTAGCTATGAAATTAGGTCTGCAGATATTCTTCGGGCACTTGACTGGGAAAATTTAGATTCCAGACGAAGTATGACCAAGGCAGCATTATTATATAAAATTTTGAATGATTATACCGCACCTAATTTGAAAGAATTATTCATCAGGAGGAATCTTTTGCAAAATAATTATGACCTCAGAAACTGTCACATTGATTTGGCTCTTCCAAAACCGAGACGAGAATTTCTGAAAAAAAAGTTTTAAGTACAGTGGTGCTAAACTTTGGAATAATCTTTCGCAAGAAGCTAAGGAAGCGCAATCTATTTATTCTTTCAAAAACATTGTAAAGCAAATGAATTGTTAAATAGAATTAAGATTCAATCATGTATAGATCTTAGCATACGGCCGGATCACACCAACTTAATCTATTTTCTTTCTTATATATTTCTCTTTTGTAAATAGCTATGTAGATATATTATTATCTTTTGTAAATGTTCTATTGTGTTTTGGACGCCCCTTATGGAAACCAACTTTTGTTGATAAGGCTAGCGTCATTAAAGAAGGTTTTACATACATACATACATACATATGACGAATGTATGAATACACCCCCCCACACACAATTAAGCGTCTAGTCCCGGCCATGGTCATATCCACGCTATAGAGGAATGTCCTATACTACAGTATTTGTAGCTGGCGCAGCGAGCGAACCTGAAGCGAGCGAGCAAGGCAGCACTCCTAATAGGAGAGAAAATCTCCATTTTACTATGCGCGTTGCATTAAAGGAATACTAAATGGTTTTCCGTGCAGGATTGCGTGATACTACACGCGGGAAATTGCGAGACTTTTGGAAAGCGTGAAAGAGCACGAGCCGTAATTTTCTTTATAAAATAACTACAATAAGACGACGGTCAAATTTCCCGCGCGAAGCAGCATTGTAATTTTTCCATGCAGGATTGTCTCATACTGCACGCCAACGAACCGATCAAATTGCGTGTTTCATTGTAGTTATTATATAATTTGTATTCTTTCATTCTTTCTTATACATGACATCGGAGTTGATCAAGATTTCTTCTCGTTTAGGTGTTACCAAGACAAACGTGCAATATCTATACTTCAACAAACTTTTTCCGAGATATTCAGGGTGGGAAACCAACATTGGATCACATGGTCGAAGGTGGTGAAATCTTTGAAACAATATTGCGAAATCCGGTAAGATTTGTGCGTTCCTCTGAGAATCAAATTCTTGATTGTAGGTGAAGGGAATACTTTTGTAAGTCTCTTCGGACGACATACGATGTTTCTCTTCGATTTGTCGCTCCCTTTTATCGAACTTTAACCTTACCTTTGTTAGGAAGTGTGCTATACGTTGTTCAGTGACTGTAAACGTTTTAGGTTTCGATCTTTATGACCCACATGACGAATTATGCGAACGACAGGCTGGCGCCATATTTGTTTAAGAAACTGGTGAAATTCGTACAACGCTGGACCAATTTGAAACTGATGTCGGCGACTCCAAAGCAATTGGCCGAGATATACTTTGAGATTTTTCCTGATGAGATCACACCTGTATGGCAGGTGAGTAGTGCATTGCTACCAAAACGTGGCATAGATCTAATGCAGCGCTCTTCTGCTCAAAAAGAAAGGTGCTAAATTTTAACTGTTTTAAATCAAGTGGCATACTCAAGTAGATATTATATAATTATGGACCTTCAGCAATACTGGATCAGTGAAAAGAAATGAGTAATTAAAGGTCAATGAGAGTTTTAGACATCGTTCACGTTTTGTTTACAACTGCAAATCTCCGATTTTCACTTCCTTTGTGGATCACAGTTTTCAGAATTGTTCCTATAAGCATAAACCCAATGTTTTCAAATTACAGCTCATTAAATTTATACGATTGATAACAACTCTTTACCGTGGCATTTATATTTAAAGGAGTGTTTTGGCTGTGTAGTCGACATGCTTAAGGTCTCTATTGTTTTGAGTAGCTAGAAGCGATCACAGAAGCCATTGTAACCCCGTCTTAACATTCTCTACGATTACTGTCATCTCGATAGTATGTGAAAGTGGCTGTCAATGGGTTTTTTCCCTAGAATCCGTGTGATTATAATCGACATTTAGCGATATGGCCTATCGATAAGAGTTGTTCGCGCCTTCCATCCCTGCTGGTCATCGGACCTCCTCACGGTGGCCACGAATTGTTAGGCAAGTTCCTGCAAGTACATCCCAGGATGAGAGGAACCCAACAAGGTGATCTTGGGAACATAGAGACAAACTTTTTCAGCAGCGACAACTATCTTAAAGGGCTTGATTGGTAAGAAATTTGACTTGTTTTTTTGTAAATCTCGACCTTTATCTTCCATCATGGCTCCATTTTTTTTCGCTAATGAGCTATGTTAGTTCATTTGAAACTTGGAAGGTATTGTTCCTACGGCATGTAAACATATAAAAATATGCATCCCAAATGTAACAATCTAGCTGCCCTATTGTTCCACACGAAATTTATTTAATTTCGACGTTCCTTACAGACCGTTCATACGAAAACATTAGAAGAAGATTGGCACTAGCTCTAGGCCATTTTATCTTCCAACACGACGTATGATTAAGCTTTCGTTCCACTTCTTTAGAAAATCATTGCAATCCACCGACATTAAATGCCCAATATATGACCAGGTTTACGATCAGTTGCACAAGACTAACTTAGTATGCAGTCTTAATTTACATCTATTCATTCTGTTAAGGTACATGAACTTTTTTCCAAAACAAACAGAGCTTTACGAGAAGATTTTCGAAGTGAGCAGCACGTACTTCGAAAGTACTGTGGCAAGTTATCGTGCAAACTCCTTACTAAAGATTGCCAAAATAATCATTGTTTTACCTGATCCTGTTCAGCGAGCGTACAGGCATTACATGGTAATCTACTTGATATATATTTTTGCCCAGCACGCCAGCACTATAAACTTAATAGTATATACTTTGAAAATAACTGTACGGTGTACAACAGTCCTAAAAAACAACATGCAGATTTTATGGGGGAAAATTAAACAAAGGTCGGATTCCATTGAAGAGAGTTCAACCAGGAATGACTTGCGAACACTTTGAGAAATCTATATTACTAGCGTGTAAAAATAATTTTGTCCATCCACCTATAAAAGTGGTTTTTCGCAAGGCAGATATTTTCGTTTGAGCAAAATTAATTGCTCGATTTTCCTTTCAATTGTAATCGGTTAAATGGATTCGCTGCATTCCACTTCTTACAATTGATGGAAAAATTTCGTTTCATTAAAATCTCGCATGGAAACTGCTTAGATATTAAGGCAAGTCCTATTCACACATTTTTTGCCCGTTTATTATTTATGTGTCAGCATAACGTTTTTTGTTTTCCTTCAGTATTTAAAGAACAACGGTGTTTCTTCGGTGGCGCAGAAATATACATTTGAAGAATTTCTTATGGAGAAAAGCAAATCATCCGAAGCCAAGTCGTTAAGAAATCAGCTGTTAACTAACGGACATTATGCTAATCATTTAACACGTTGGATGTCGTACTACAGTTCACAGCAGGTTGATACTTTATATAACACGCCCTATTTTAATGAGATCGCAAGATACCATAGCTGACCGGACGATGTGCAAGTCGGTCCTGTATGAGTGATTCGGAAATCCATTATATATTTATTCAGCTCATTTAGAACAGTCTGGTGCGTGAATGTGCATCACAAATTTAAGCAAAACGACATCAACGACTATTAACATTCCCAGTTTAATTCTCGCACGTCGGAATCATCAGCCATAATTAATTTTAAGCTGATTCTCATGGGTCCCATGAAAGTCGATCGGTGATGGTTATTGTGCTTTCTTGTTTTGACAAAATTCATTCAAAATAACAGACGCTTTAATTGTCAATGATCACCGTCAATAACCATCGTCGATGACGGCTGATATATGATAATTCGGCTTTAAAACTAATACACACTAGTCCAATTTCGTCTGTCTGAGGACAATTTGCCCAAATGCATTTTCTGTCCAAAAAGATATAATGGATTCCCGATTCTTAGGAACTAATGTGAAACAGACGTTGACAATCAGACTTTGGCACATCATTATGTAATTACAAATGGTTGGAAATCTTTAACGAATAATTGCCGTTTATTGTAGGTGATGATCATCAGCGATGACGATCTAATAAATCATACAAGAACTGTCCTTAATAATATTCAAGATTTTGTCAATATTGAGAAACCGATCAACTACAATCAACTTCTGAGGTACGTAAACAAGAAGATTTTTTTAATTATTTAGCGCTTTTCCTGACATTCTTTTTCGTCCCAGATAATCACTTTATTAAGTTATCATACGAAATATTTCCATAGTATACTCTGTATTTTTCTTCCATTGATTTGTGGATTGCAAAGCAAAGCCCGACATCAAACATCGAAAGCCTTAAATTGTGTCCACGGAATTCACTTCCTGGCTACTCAAATCACGTCAAAAGCGAATGTAGACTAACGCCTGTATTCAAAAAGCTCACTCACACTCACACTCATTGAGTGTGACATTTAAATTTTGTTAATGCTGATCAATGAGAAAGTTTTTTCTGAATGGATGGAAAGATATAAGGTAAATTACTGAAAATCAAGCCCCTACTCGACTGGAAATACCGCCATGGAAACGTAATGAGAAGATTAAGATCTCTCACTCAATGAGTTTGAGTTTGAGTGAGCTTTTAGAATACAGGGGCCGGTTGTTCAAAAGCCGGTTAACGCTAACCCAGGGTTAAAAATGCCTAACCCAGGGTTAAATTTTAAACCTTGGTTGATTTGCGTTGCACAAAGCTCGGTTAGCGTTAACCCTGGGTTAAAATTGATAAAAAAATTAACCCTGCTAGCTAGATGGGTTAACTTTTTAATCCTGGGTTAACTTCGATTCAAAATGGATGAATAAGCAGCTGAAACACGTAAACACGTATAATTCGTCATGAATTAAACACTTTTCAAAGGTTTTACGAATAATTTCGACAGCAAAGAATTATTTAAGTTTGACTTTGTTCGATTTCAGCTGATGTATTGATTTATTTATCTTCGCTTCAATGCAATACACAATAAATGAATACAACCATACAAATTGAAAGATCGTAATCGAAATATTTGTTTCGGATGCCAAAATTCGATTATTTTGATTGGCAGCAAGTGGTAAGGCTACGTTTGTTCCTGAATTTTGAATAATCCAAGAATGCCTGAATTTTTAAAATAGATTGTTTATCATACAAAAAGGCCTTTCATTTCCAATCTTTCCAAAATTCCATCCACGGAAATTGCTGTTCAAAACAACGTCCCTTCGACCCTGCCCTCACGGCATATAATCTTTCGACTGACAATATATCCTCGTCGGGTAAAGTTTTGACCCTCGTTTATAGACCAATCGAAAACGTTCTTATATCCAATTTAGTCGTTAAAATACATTTAATCTTATAGTTAAATATTTTAACCCTGGGTTAACTAACCCTACCTCTAACCCAGCTTTGAACAACACAGTTTTAACCCAGGTTTAGCTAACCTAGGGTTAAGGATTTTAACCCAGGTTTAGCACTAACCCAGGGTTAAATTTAACCTGCTTTTGAACAACCGGCCCCAGGCGTAAAATGCTCTTTCACAAATTTTGTCGTTTATAAGAAAATTTCTTAGCCAGCTTAAAAGGCGTGTACTATAGAATTATATATAAATTTACCCTACTATATAGAGAGGAAATCGATCGTATTATATGCAAATATGAAAAACAATTTTATTGGATGGAAATTTTACAACATTCGTGTTTTGGTGCCTCGTCAACTGGTCTCGCTATACATCAGCAAACTTTTCATTTCATTCAGGGTTATATTTAACCTGGTAATTTGGCTTATATGAACACTGCCATGCAGGTTAGAGGATTTGTGCGGTTAAAATTCCTTTATCGTTCATTCAGATATGATACAAGAGAACACATGTACTGTCCTCTGAACAGCAATACCGTTGAAGAATGTTATGGCTACAAGGACAGACATTGCAGTGAAATTAGTGTGAAGGCGAGAGAGTATTTACAAAACTATTATGCAAAGCACAACAAGAATTTACTACGGTTGAATCAAAAAGTACAATTTACTGTGCCAAAGTGGCTTAAAGTTTATGGATAATCCTATATGATGCCTTTTAGAGAAATATTAAATGTACATAAATTTTA